AAGTGAAGTTCCTCGAATCGGCGACGGCTGAAAGCTAATTCGGGTCCCGAGACTCTCCGGCTTTAATTGAACGGTAATTAGCATCACAAAGGGCGTCGTTTAATCGCGACGGGGGCACGCGATTAATTTATTAGGCGGACCGGTGAACCTTTCGCCCGTCTCGAGGAGAGACTGTTCACTTAATTCGCGTTTCTACGAGCCGCTTCGTTTAAGCGACGTTTTCACGCGACGCGAGAAGAGCGTTGCAACGAACGCGACAGGAAAAAAAACTGAAATCTGAATTGATCGCGAAAATTCCGATCGAAACGGTATTAATCGAGCTGAAATTATAACGAACGCGCTTCGCCGTCGCGCGGCCATAGAAAATCTCGAATGAAGAAACGCGATTAACTCCCAATTAGTGAAAAAGGAAGTCGAAGGATTCGTATTTACGCAGAGATACGAGGTCTAATTATAATCGTTCTTTCGTGCACAATGATTATATCTTCCGGTGATTATTAACATTCCATTCGCCTCTTTCGCCTTTTTTACGGTTTTATCAAGGTGAATCCTGAATCAACTTTCGCACCCGTTATTTAATCTCTGGTCAAAATAAATATCGTTTGCATCCATGGAACACGTGCTTACTGGTTGAATATAGTTTAGTGGTGTAGGGTTGGAGAGTATTCGTAGAGAACAATATTTGAAGAGTATTTGTAGAAAGAATATTTGTAAAGAACAAGTATTCAAAAGTATTTATAGAAAGAGTATTTGTAGAGAGCAATGATTGAAGAGTATTTGTAGAAAAAGTATTTGTAGAGAATAATAATTGAAGGACATTTGTAGAAAGAATATTTGAAAAGAACAAATACTGAAAGGTATTCATGAAAAGAGTACTTGTAGAGGACAATAATTGAAGAGTACATGCAAGAAACAATAATTAAAGAGTATTCGTAGAGAACAATAGTAGAACAATACCTATGGAGAAGATTGCAAGTGCCAACCACCGAACATTTCTAAAAGAGAAAGAAAAGTCACCTAGCGTTGAACGTTACGTCGCAACGCTGTCATCTTTCAATGTCGCCAGTGGTATAGATAACCTCTTCTATCGATGATCATTCATAAAAGGAAAACTGCGCTTAAATCACGCATTACAAGACAAGAAAAAAATGTCCATCTTACCACTTACAGAATATTCAACGAGAACTCTCCAATTTATAAAGTATAAAACCGTACAACCACTACGACAGGATCGAGCGTCTAACGGGTGGGACGAACCGATCCCGCATCAAGCCTACAATTAATAAAGAACATGGATCGTAATTTTCTCGCAATCTAACGACGACGTTACACGGGACAAGCAGACAGGAATCTCTCACAACGCTCGTACAAAAAGAAGAAAAATAAATAGAAATCCGGACAAGGATCTATACACTATGCTAAACCGATAGTATCTTCCGTCCAATTTCACGCATCCGAGCGGGGCTGGAATTATTATAATTCTGGACGAAAGAGTGGCTCATCGACAAGACGTTCGTTACGCAACTTCGTACCGCGGGACGCAAGCTCGCTTATTATCGCTAATTAAAAGCGTTTAATTAGGGCGGCTGGCGCGGGTCACGTAATTCTCATACCGCGATCGCGCAGCCCTAACCATTTCCACGATTCCCCCCGAACCTCCTTGTTTCCGCGGCGTTCCCGTTTCTTTTTCCCCTTTCTTCCCCCTTTCTTTCCGTCGCCCCCCCTTTTTCCCTTTTACACGATTTTCTTCCGCGTTCCCTCGTCAGCGAACAGGATGAGGCTTGTTCCGCGCGAAACGCGCACGCGAGTCACCTCGTTAACGAGAGATCCACGGGACTCATCGATGTTACGGATATTCTATTTACATTTCGTAAATACCGTTTGTTGGAAACTTCTCTGTCGATTCAGTGCTTTGGATCTAATTTCTGAGATCTCAGTGAATAATTAGGCATTTTTCTAGGAACAATACCATACAGTGTACAATAAATGTTTGTAAATCTGGCGTCAATATCAAAACGAGTTGTAAAATATTCTGTATTTTCTTACGAGAATTTGAAGAATTTGCTTTTATTAGAATTTTCATTTTACTTGGGATATTTGTTTGGTTCATTTCGAACGTTGGTTTATTTTATGTAGGATTTTATTTGCGCGAATTTATTCATATTTGTGGTTAATTCAATTTATATTCTATATTGTTCAATGGAAATTGATCATTTAATAATTACTTAAGCAAGCGTCTGCCTTTTTAATAACTACAAAAGACGAGATTCGAAATGAGACCTTTTGACCCATCCGGCGGTTCCAGTGTTAATACGCTCGGAGAAAGAGGATCGCGAGCGATCGCGCTTCCCTTTGTTGTTCAACCCCTTCCAACGAGAATCTCGGCGAGTCCCTGCACCGCTACTTCTCGACAACCATTTTCGTCTCTTCTAATTTGTCCCGGCTCCCATCAACAGGCTAATAGGATTTGGTAAATGCCGGGCTGCCTCGATAAGCTACAGCCTGCGTGGGTACACAGTGTCATCTCTATTCACGCGAGTTTCCATTTTCCAAGAGTAATTTCATCGAGACTTGAATGGGGATGAAATTTCTTTCGCTGGTTAGGACATTGCTCGCAAGTGAAGGCGGAAAATAAAAATAGTGTTACTTTTGCTATCATTCTTAAATTCACGAATAATAATAATAATAATAATAATAATAATAATAATAATGATGATGATGATGATGATGATGATGATGATGATGATGATGATGATGATGATGATGATGATGATGATGATGATGATGATGATGATGATGATGATGATGATGATGATGATGATGATAATTTAATATCCAGTATTTCATAAATTTGTAACGCTTCACGAATAAATGTGTGTACTATCCATAGAATTATTAATAATTAGATTACAAATAAAATAAATTTCGTTATATTATATTGTATAATAAGCTGCAATAAATTTTTATATTACATAATATTGTATTAAAATAAAAATAAATATTGCAAAGCTTTCGAAGAATTTATTTTTAGTAATGTTACTGTATAATGTCCGAGTGTATTATTTTCGGATGTGTTTACCGAAAGGACGCGCCGGCTTACGTTGAACTAATTTTCTTCGCACGATCCACGTCGACTAAAAATATTCGGCAATAACAAATATTTCGACACGAGCAGACACCGGATCGATCCCGAGGAATTCGATCGCGCAATACCGGGCTTCCTTCACCCACATCTGGATCCTGTGTTCCCGTTTTCAAAGCCACCACGATCCGCGGTATCATATCGAGAACTTTCTCTGTTATCGGAATCCTTGGACGCGATCGGGTCCAGTGACGCAAAAGAATTTCAAAGTAAGAGGCTTTAAAAATTCAGTTGTGATCGCGCCTTGGCCATCTTAACGTTTCATCTATTTCAACAGCTTAAATCGCGAAGCGAACCAGAACGTTTTAAATAGAACTGCATATTTTCATACTTCGCATATTATTTCCGAGTATTATTCGAGTGAAACAAGTTTGCGCCACGCAGTATTTCATTCAATTATCCAATTAATTATTATTTAAAGTAACCAATAGGATATCAAGGTTTGTGGTATCAAGTTGTAATATGACGAAACAAATTAGATGCTAGTACGAATGTAATATACACTATAAGTCACAAATGATCTTGCTCTTTCTGTTAACCACTTAGCAAATTGTTAAAATAACTAAATCATTATTCAATCAACAATTCATTATTACATTCGAATATCATTCAATTAACTATTTATCACGAAATAAGAACACGACTGTATCGAGAATAGCGAACAAACAGAATGTTGCTAAGAAAACAAAAATATAATTGGGTTAACCCCTTGACCTATGATCTACTTTTCAACCGTGATCGATATAACTTTGTCAGTACCAGTTTACGATATAATAATTGACAACAGAAGAATGATATTTCATTTAAATCTAAAGGAATCGAATAATATTTATGTTCCTTAAATTCCATTTAAATTATCCACCACGAGTCCCGCGCGTTATTGTAAGGCAAGGGGTTAATAAAGACCAAAGAAGAATGTAACAAGGTTAACGAGAACTACCCTATATTTCACTGTGTCGAATGCAATCCAAGCCAATTTGCAGAGAAATAAATCAATAGTATCCAACGTCGAGAGTCTCGGGAAGTCTCGAAGGAAAGCGATGAATCCGGTTGTATTGGTCCCGTGTTCGAGGGAGAAGGGGTGGAATTCGGGTGACCGTGACAAAAGCACTGGCACAGGAGGAAAGAGTGGTCCAGGATCGGTGGGAGGAGACGATCAGGTGGAAATTAATCGCGCGGAGACGAAATCGGGGCGAAAGAAGGCCGGAGGGCTCGAAAAAAATGTAATTATCGAGCCGACGACGAGTGGTCCTTGGACTAATGGTGACTGCGGGGGGGATGCTTTCTGGCCAGATGCTCCTGTTTCAAGGGCGTCCCCCGAGATACAAGGGTTCGACATTAACGCGGAGAGTCTTCTGGCGCGGAAGGGTCCGGGGACAAAGCGGGCGAACATCTCGGAACTCGCTGCCGCGTAGCTAGACCGTGGAAACCGCGAACACGAACAAATACGACTCGAAGACACCCCCTAGATATCGCAGGATCCGCCAATGTATTGAACTTCCGTGAAACTTCGTGAGGATCACGCGCACAACCTCGTCTAAAATGAATTTTTTCGGAATTGATAATGCACAGAGCCATCTGAATCTACAATTGGGAGATGACTCCGATGGCTAACTTGAGGAATTCCTCTGATTGATTAGTTTTCACATTTTGTCGCCTAATTTTCTGTTGAATTTACTCTCCCAATTTTTGATAACAATTCAGATTTTCTAAAAAGACTTTTCAGAAGTTTAAAACATTCTCTCGCGAAAGGTTGAAACGAATCCAACGGTTTTAGGCGAGAAAAAAAGTAGTAGATCAAGGGGTGACTCTGAAATTCGAAGGGAATCAGAGAACCAAGGTCTGGAATAATCTTCGAGGCCGTATTACGCAGTCGTTCCGGAAGCAAGTAGTAACATGAAAACAACGAACCTGTCATCAAGTCGGGAATCACCGCTTTCGATCGTCATTCTTCAATTATCGCGACGTAAAACAGCATCTATGAGCTGCTAAGCTGTTGACGAGTGGCGGATGGGGGATTTATAAGAGCTACGACCAGCCAAGAGATCAGACATTGTTGTCCCAGACCGTTATCTTTCAATTGTGTCAATAATTCTTAGCAAAGATGCGAGCGAGGCAAAAGTTATTTGGCGTTCTGCTAGCTTTCGTGGCGTTGAGATCCGCGAATAGTGTAAGTTGACAGAGAAATTAATGAATTAATCGAAATTAATCGAAAAATAATCTCAGTGATTAATTCGCCTTGGTATTAATTTGTCGATTGTAGGCTGTGACTCGCGAGCAGATGGAGAAAATGGCGAAGTCGATGCGGAACAACTGTGTGTCGAAGGTAGACACCACCGAAGGTAAGACATAGTTTATTCTATTTCATTAACTGATCAGTCGTTGCTAATCATTCTGATGTCAATGAAAAGTCTCATATTTATTAGAACGTTCGTGTTTCCTTAAAAAAGAAACAATTCGAACTGCAACGTACCAGAACTTTTTATTCCACTGATTCCTCTTACCATTCCTTGAACTGTTCTGTGTTCTTTCTATTATTTTGGATTCGCCAATCTTCCTTTCTGACAGTCAATTAATGTTCTACATCTGATTTCAAGTAAGAACACCAGATAGCATTTTTATACGAATTTTCAGAACTGGCCTTGGGAATCAGAAGAGGAGAATTCCCAGACGACCATAACCTCGAGTGCTACACGAACTGTATTATGAAGATGCTGAGAAGTGTAAGACAATTAATTACACTGTGGAACAAATTCGAAGTTTTTTTGTGTCTTGCGATAACCACTGAGTAACTCTTGTAGAGTTTCTTACCCTAAATACGAATCCGAAAACCAAATTGCTGGATCACGTCCAGCTTCCGAAAAACATGGATTTTTGTAAAAACGGTCGAATTTTCCAAAGAAGCAAGCGTTACGTGAAAATTAAAAACGATAGACACTTAAAATTTGTCGTAAAAAATAGACGGGAGTTGCCGGAATGTGTAGCTATAAAAATTTTGAATATTACTTATCATTAAATGCTTTTAAATGATCAGAGTTTAAAAAGGGGTAGATGCGCGTACTTGTACACGCTTCTGTTGCATTTCTACGAAAAGTGGGTTGGCTAGCACGAATTTGATAGACACCATTGGATTTTGCAGACATTTCTGAAGAGGAAACCCCCGCGGAAAGCGTAAGAACGGTTTTCGTTTCGGACTGATTAAGAAAATCTCCGTCAAAAGCGCGTGCACAGAACTTTGGCGCCATATGGCCATCGCTCGCTCGCCACGGCTAGTCAAGACCGTGACTACATGCTGTAGAGACCTGGACCCCTGTCACTTCTTATATGTATATATAATATTGAATTATTTATAAATTTTCATAATAATTATGAGAAAGCTTTCCAAGATCGTTTTGTTTCAAATAATTTAGTGTTTAATATGTGAATACAGATATACCAGTAATATTATTACGATGATTAACTCTAAAACTATCGAATCAGTCAAGATGGTCGATATAAATTTTATTATCTTTCGATTATTAATATCTGAAATGTTTTTTAAAATTAATTAAGTTTACTGGAACTATTACGAATATTCGAGTATACTCAATAATTTTAGTGTTAATTTAAAAATAGTTCAGTAAACATAATTGTAGATCGTACTTTGCGTAATAGATTTTTACATGAAATTTCATACTCTATTTGAATTCAGAATTATATCATTAGATTAAAATGATGTTTTCCTTTTATAAAACAAGCAATTTTTATTTGAAATGTCTTGCATGCGGTGAATACATATAAAAATTATATATGTCTTTAGAATATGCTACATCAGATAGTAGATAATCAATTATATAGACCTAATTAATTATATAAAATGAACACACATTTCAGAAATATAATGCTTTAACTTCTGCTTCCAACACATGATTCACAGCTCTTGTAATTCTCTTGGTTACTATACAATGTTTAAGTCAGTGCTGCGTTCTGCCACAGAAATCGTGAGATATATTCAGCAATTCAAAAAGTCTGCGTTTTTATTAGAAACAGAAGATTGGCACCGTCCCTTACGGTGGGAAATTTGACAAAAAGCAATATGTTCTCATGCAATGACAGCATCTTGAGGACCAGTGAAAGTGTGAATGGTTATACTATTAAAAGCTTTCTCATAATTACTATGAAAATTTATAAAACAATTAAACATTATACATACATAGAAGAAATGACAGGGGTCCAGGTCTATACAGCGCGTAGTCACGGTCCTAATTGGCCAGCGAGCGATGACTGTGTGGCGCCAAAGTTCTGTGCACGCGCTCTTCACGGAGATTTTCTTAACCGGTCCGAAACGAAAACCGCTCTCACGCTTTCTGCGGGGGTTTCCTCTTCAGAAATGTTTGCAGAATCCAGTGGTACATAGCAAATTCGTGCTAGCCAATCCGTTTTTCATAGAAATGTAACAGAATCGCGAACAAGTACGCGTATCTACTCTTTTTTAAACTTCGATCATCATTTAAAAGCATTTAGTGATACGCAATATTCAAAATTTTTATAGCTACATATTCCGGCAACTCCCCTCTATTTTTTACGACAAATTTTAAGTGCCTATCGTTTTTAGTTTTCACGTAACGCTTGTTTCTTTGAAAAATTCGACCGTTTTTACTATTTCGAAAGCTGGACGTGACCCAGCAATTTGGCCTTCGGATTTGTAATTAGGACAAGGAACTCTATAAGGATCACCTAGTGACTATTACAAAACAACAATCGTGTTGAACAGTGTTGTCGTAACATCGTCTGGTTTCCGTAATTATTATACAGTCAGAACGTAGAATGGTTAGAATATGATATTCTTCCAATTGAATAGCAAGTTCTACATTCGATTATTTCAGAGAAGAAACAAACCGAACTTCCTTCGTCGTAAATAGAGATACTATACTTTCCGCACGCTAGGTTTAATAGTTTATTCTAAATTCGACGAATTTTATAAATATTATTTTACAAATGTCATCGATTTCGAGGTTAAGTATCCCATTAAACAAAAATATCTAAATAAAGGAACACCAATTTCTCTAGGAACAATAGAATGAACTGTACAATGAATGCCCGTAAAGCTAGTGTTAATCAAGTTTAACGAGAATCGGCGCATGGATTCTCTTTCGACCAATGATCAATCATTAATAAAAGATTGCAAATTCATTGATGTTCAGTTCAAGAACGGAGCCATCGATTTCAACATAATAATGAAGCAAATAGATGCGACAATGCCGCCAGATCAAGCTCCCAGAGTCAAGGCTGCGATAAGACAGTGTAAAGGCAGAGGTGAGACTACAACTTCGAAAGCTACGGCGGACGTAACGCCAATGGAAATCGATAACCCACTTTCCTAGACTCAGTTCGCACGTTCGCGAAACTGAACTTTCAATTCGCTCTATGCGCAGAATACGATGCCGACGACGAATGCAAATTGACCTACCAATACACGAAATGTGTCTACGAGATGGACCCGGAAACGTTTTTCTTCCCGTAAGCGGCCGGAGCGCACCGGAAATCCAACCACGCGGGCATCATCAAGAAACGGAAGTTAGGAGTTGGCATCAAAATAGCGGCCAACGTAAATTTCCTTGATCGTAATAAGCCTTTCTAGTGAAGACAATTGATAAATATTATATATTATAAGAAACATTGTGTGCACGATCAACACGATCGTTTGGATTTATTAAATCGCTCTCGTTGTAAAATTAAGAAAAATCGAAGCTACGAGAAAGTAATGAAAACGTAGAAAAATTGTGAATTACCGTGATCTATGCTAATTTCAACCCATTTCCATGCTGTCTTTATTCCTCGAACTCTCATCCGATCGGTCCTGTCTGAACCTCCATTTAAATTTCGCGAGACCCAAAAGAATTCTTAAGCAATGAAGTATTCTAGATAATTCGATTATTCAATTACCAGCTGCAAATTGTTTAATTACAAATTCTTTGCTCAGCAGTAGATTAGTGATCCAGGATCAATAAATTTTCTGGTAGCGACTTGCAACGATGTTTGCACTTCTATTTTATTCTATTTAATTCTGTTTTAATTTATTCTACTTTATTCCGTTCTATTTTATTCTATTACCATCCCAAATGAATTGAATTTGTCGCCAGTAATAGCAGTTGCGTTTGCACGCGTCACGAGAGTCGCTGTCAGAAAGAAGTGTCGCAAATTGCTTGCTTGCGTACCTGCCGGTTCAGAATTGCTCGGTTCGCGGGCGGCTCGCTTAATTTACCATCGAAATGACGGTTCTCCCGGCAGAAGATAGTTCGTAGGCACCGGCGATGATACAATCATTGCATAATCATCGTGTATTCCGTCGTAACCCATTACGTGTGCATTACTCCTCCTTTTCCGGCGCAGCTGTCAACCTCCGAGATCATCCACGAAAAGTGGATGTTTTCCGGCCACATCGTTCTAAATAACACGGTCAACGCCGGTAATCACAGGTCATGCGTCTATCACCGAAGACACAAAAATTGTTTGTTCTCCTACTGCTCCCGTGGCCAGTTGTCACTGAATATAAAAGCGAATGGTTCCTCATTTCACGCTCGAATTTAATAGTTCGTTCGCTCTGCTCTTCGTGGGCTGCCGATCAAAGGACACCAGGACCGTGTTAAGCTTGGTATGCATTCAATCGAATTGTTTCGCGATTATTAACCCTTTGCACTCGATAATATTCGCTAGACATATTCAATATTTTCTGACGAAACGCAAACGATATTTATTTCAACCGATTTAACGATAATTCATACGTAAGTTAACAGCAGATCTACCGAACAGTGAAATTAACTTACCTTTATTCCTTCGTTGATATCGTAAGAGTGTGTTTATTCAGATCTTTATTAGCTTATATTTTAGTACATTAGCAAATCAAACTATTTAGTCATTTATCTGAGAAACGCCTGTATATTCTCAATGATTGTCAAAGAAGAAATCGGGAATAGGTCGTGTTGATCTGTTTGGTAGCTTTAGTGTCAGAAACGAAAGTATTTTACTTTAATATCATATATGTCAAAGTTTAATATTAAATATTGCACTTTACATTTTCACTGTGTCGAATCGAGTGGCAACTGAGAGTCACCTCTCAAGTACAAACGGGTGACCTTTAAGTATGGACGTGAATTTAACCTTTAAGCATGGAAGTCTGAAAATTACCGGTTAATGTTAAATATTCCCATTTATTGCAACTGATAAAAAAATGTATTGTGTTTATTTGTAAATGGAAGTTTCACTGGTTTCAACGTTCACGATATGTCGCATAGAAGACCATGAAGCCGCGCGTCCATACTGAAAGGTTCAACGATTTCAATCGATGAATCAAATAAATAAAGGTCGAAAAATTAGTGATTGGAATTGCAGTGAATCATTGGGATATTGATCGGTATTTAATACTCTATTTCATCGATCAATTGTTTCATGTAAATAAGTGTTCGTTGTAGTGACCATTGAAATCCTAATTAGGATCCTGACCTTAACTTTCAAGTCTAGAAAAATTGAACACTTATTCGAAACATTTTCATAACAAAGGCTACGTGTGAGTAAATAATTTTTTAAAATTATATTTGAGTCATAAGGGATTCAATTAGGAATAGTGTTCAATCTTGAAGATAGATCTTCAAAATCTATTTATCGATTGATGGACTGAATCGATCCATCTATTGATTGATAGACTCATAAATCTGTCGATGTATTGATGAGATCTTGTTAATAAGGTTGGTAAGACCAAGAATTTATCTATCAGTTGGTAGATTCAATGATTAAAAGAAGTAGACACATATGCATCGAAGAATTATACCAATAGATACCACAATGGTTCAAATTTAGAGGATGATTGTTCGAACCAAGATCGATATTTCTGATAGATCGAGGAATCAGAAGAAGGAGAGGTATAGATGATTAGTCTCTTAAAGCAAATGAAGTAGCCTAAAGTTGTATCCAGAAGGGAATTTCCGATCAGGCTTGTAGCTTGGTACCTTAAAATGAGGAGCTATAGCGTTATCCTAGTAGCCGCGTTGATGCTAGTACTGGCGACCATCCGTAGCGCCGAGAGCGTAAGTTCCAATTAATCATTCCACGCGTTCGATATTGGAATCGAGCGGTGATATAACTTGCCTTGCATTCGCAGAAAAAAGTAACCTTAGATGAAGCCAAGAACACTGTGAAGAATTTGAGAAAACCCTGCGCGAAGAAGACGGACGCTCCTAAAGGTACAGTGACGTAATTTGAGCAAATCCGAGACGGAATTAATCTAGATCTAGGCTAAATAATATCGTAATATCGTAATATTAATTTTAATGTTAATGTTAATGTTAATGCGAATTTATTTGTCTTTTTAAGAACCTTTGCGAGCTAAAATGCATCTGTCATAGAATCATTAAAGTGCTCTTACATTCTGATTCTTTTATATTCAACACAGATTAGTTTAAGTTAATATTAATATTGATTTAATCTTAATCTATTAATATTGACTTAAACTAAACTGTAATGTATATAAAATAATTAGAATCTAAGAGCAATTTAATATCATTCTATCACTTGATTTCAGCTCGCGAAAGTTCTCAAAAAGATAGATAAATTCGTATTTAATTAACATTTTCGTAAATTTCTTCGAATGTGGATCACGGTCATTCTTAGCAATTACATGCTTAAATATTCAATATAAGTGATCACGGTTTTATCATACAGACCTCCTGGATGGGCAACACAGAGGCGAGTTCCCGAAGGACGAGAGGCTCATGTGCTACATGAAATGCATACTAACCACGACCAAAACTGTAAGTGACACTTTCTTCGTTAACAATTTCTACGTTATACTTCGAAACATCCCTCCCTCAAAATTGTAACTAATCGTTTTGGTACTGATCTTTCTTAAAGTTTCCCTTCCCACAAAGTAACGCCTTAGATTGTGATATCACATGAACATCTCCAATCATTTGATTCAATTACTGAAGGATTATTCGGTGATTCGTGATGTTCACGGTTGCTTCTAGATAAAGAACGACGAGGTGCAGTACGAATGGTTCATAAAGAATGCTCGCCTCATGCTGGAGGAAAAATATGTTCCGCGAGTCGAGCATGTGGTCGAAGTCTGCCGGAATAAAGGTACGATGCTGTGCACGATTTTTCGAGATAGAAGTGACACTCGATTTTCACCAGTTTTCCCTACATTCAATTTTAATATCATAATTCATACTATGATATTGCTTATGATACATAAGTATAATATTAGCGACGAATAATATTGTAATACTAGTTCTACCTAGTAGCAACTAGTCGTGAACTTGGTGATGTTAGTGTTAAAATTGAATTGCAAAAAGATAAGATAAAAATAAGATAATTAGACGATTCTAGTGTTAAAGCAGTATAGATAAGGTAATGCGGTAATTCTAGTGTTAAAATGGAATTACTAAATAATTCGGTAATTCTAGATTTAAAGTTGAATACACAAGACGATTCGATAATTCAAGTGTTATAGTTGAGTAATAATACAATTTACGTTTACGTTTACACTACTAATTTCTGTCGCAGTGACCGCGAAGGAAGGATGCGAGGTCGCATGGGAATTCGGTGTCTGCGTCTGGGAGACGGACTCCGAGGTAATCAGAACACGATAGCTAGATCTGCCAGTAAATCACGATAACATAACAATCGCGTTGCAACGTATTGTCCGGCGCCACGAAGCTACAAACGCGAATCGAATGAATCGTGTTGTACGCGCACGAACCGTGGATAGAGTCAGTGAATTGTAAAAATAACCATTGTTGCAAGTGTGTTCACGGAATAATGTTCTAATCGCGACAGAGTAGAGGTGAGAATATTTGAAACAAAAATTTGCCCTAATGAGAACGTTCAGTGGCTCAAGATATTCGGGAAACGAAGAAAGAATCTCTGTCGTGATTCTCTCGTTTATATTTATACACGTTTCTCTTTGAATCGATAAACCGATTAATTTTCTAATCAAATTTTTCTGTGTTGCAGCTTTACATTGCTCCCTGAACGACTCGAGAACGATAAATTCCCGATTGAGAGATCAAAATGGAGGTCATAGTGATCACCGTCATCGCCATCATCGTTATCGATACCACCGAGAAACAGTCATCGAATTTCTTGGCATAGAATTACAATTCCTTAACTATGTTCCTAATGCGATAGTATTCAAGCAATAAAAAACGATTATCTGTGTCTCATAGTTTAATCTTTGCGTTAGAACGCTTTTGAATTCATTGAACCCTTCAAGATCCTTCGGTTTATGGGTAGATTATTTGAATTCCTGGTCGAATGTGCTATAGCGATGGCAACTGAAGGAATTTAATTAATATCAACACGAAGAGTAAGATAATTGAGTAGACGATTAAAAGGAATGACATCCGTATCTGTGATTAAGTATTAAAATAGAAGATAAAGGTAAAATTTAATGAACCTTGATGAAATTAACGATTAATCCTTCATTTTCTATGGTGGAAATTGTATTGGATTAACATGGTATTGTTATTAACTGCCATTGCTCGTTACAACGAAACGTATTCTAAAACGATTAAGAAACCTGACGATATTTTTGCCAAACGCGCGCATCGACACCAAACATCGAACGCATCGTTGGAACACGATTTCTTGGAGACTTTCTAAAATTCTTACTCAAATATGATGACTCATCCATTTGTTCACAGACGACAGTTATATTTGCCTGGAATTTCGTACAGAATTGTTTTTATCAACACTTTTATTATCAGGACCGGTAAAAAGTCTAGTCGCATATCTCGAAGAAAAAAGACGAACGTTCCGTCAAGTTAAGCTTCATCGAAATACGCGTTGCCCATTTAAACATCCTTAAATTAACGAAATACTAATACCATAATTACCAACATCCATATCCGATAACAATTAATATCAGTAACAACCTTATATCGTTACCATGTCAACATCAATCTAGTATTAACAACACTGTAACACTAGTGTTTAACTAAACCAAGATGCATTTCGATAGTAATCAAACAATCGAATGGCCCATTTGCGAAATCGATTAACTCCGTAAAACGAAAACCGGAGAAAACTGATGCAACAGCTATACAATGATTGTCAAAGTTTCCCTTTAAATATAAAATTAAATAATCCTCATAGAACGTATTTTCCTTCATTATAACAGGTGTAGCTTGAATCTAAAGAATACGCGAAACGTACAAAATAGTACAACTCTGGGGTAATTTCTATTATCACTGCAAGTTTTGCATAGTCAATAGAATGTTTCTTTCATATCATGTCCGATAATAATGAAATTTATATTTAATATGAAAAGTCACGAGCCAATGAAGCGTGTTAACGATAAAATCTGAAGAAATTCAGAAAGTGGAGTTAATCGATCTGGCAAAGTGAGCCATTCAATTATTCTAATCCATCTGATCTCGATCCAACGATCGATAGAACCGATCTTCGATAAGTGGATATGTCGGCCAGACAAATTTCCCACGGCACGTCCCGTTCGCTAGATGAATTTTTGAAGACGGGTAAATAAATACCCATGAGTCAGCCACCGCGCGTTACGAGACAAATTTATAGACAACTGGTTGAGTCGGTGAAATATTTTGATCGCGGCAGCGGCCATCCCGGAAACCGGTTCCCCGCCATGGACCGAGTTAGATTTTAATCCCGTCGTAACTTCAATAATGCTGAAATTCATTTGACCGGAGCCGCGGCTGCGAAAAACCCTGTGCCAGTTTCGCGTGTCACCGCGTCTCCGGCTGGTTCCCCGTAATCTCCGTAATTAGAGGCCGATCGATTTATCGTCGTCGCAATTAAATAAGCGAATGGATCCCGCGCCGAGTCTCCCGACGAATGACTTCCAACGGGGCACGAGACTTTCGACCATAAAACCCGAGACAGATTGAAAATTTATCATCTAAATCGTTACGCAGCACGGATCTTACGAAACGCTACTGCCCGTTTAACCCTTCGAGTGCCACCGACGCATATACAGAGTGAGTCTGCTAACACGACGACTTAAAATCACTCGCTAGTTATATTCGTCGTACGAACAAATGTTTCAAACGAAAGTTGTTTAATGTCTAGGACAACGATGGACATACCGTAATCTGTATTTTGTTACTTTACTTTTCTAGCGACATATTAGGCTCAACAGCGTTTTACATGGAATGTCCAACGTTTTTCCTCAAATTCGGATCGAACATCGAATTTTGTGGAAAAAGTATTACAAAATGGAACTTAAAACGAAAAATTAGTGAGATATTTTCAAATTCATAATCTACTATTAGGAAACACGCGCGGTCAACATGGTTGTTAGCACGACTCTGTTTACGACGTCATGTTTGTAAACGTGTTCCCTGTTGAATGTTCGAAATCATTAACATGAAATGCCTATTTAGTGGCTCAGTAAATGTTAAACAAGCTGAAGAATGTTCGTCGCTCACTGATTATTTGATTACACAGGTGCGTTGATTGTAATGGACAACACTTGGAACACCACGTGAAATGAAACTTGTCTTAAAAGTAGCGTAGTAATTATTCGTTTTAAATAGCACGTTGTGTGATACCTTTTTCCGCAAAATTTGATGTTTTATATGAATTTGAGAAAAAATATTAGGATATTCCATGTAAAAAGCTGAAGGTGATCCTAATAGTAAGGATTGAGAGCAAGAGAATCGAAAGACATTGGTCAAAGCACGGGATAGAGTAAATGGGATTGAGATCATGCAGGTAGATCGCCGTCGATCATAAAACAGATCATAATTAATTAACTTTATTCGTCGCATTACTATGTAAAATGAAATAAATCAACAAGATGCCAATAGATTCGCGAGTGACTTCAATGTCGGGACTATATAGGCCTAAATTATTATTTCATCACTAGACTACAGATTTCTATGTCTTTATAGGAAACCTGGAACTGAAAAATTGCATGGAATGCGTGTAATGCTTTCTATAATGTCTGATTATAGAGAAACAATCAGTTTCCACAGAAATTCCATATATCGAATTACACTTTGAAAAATTTGAATTTCCATAAAGATCCATCAAGGCTACCCCTTGCTTTCCTGACAATTCTGGCCGACGGAAACCAAATTTTCCACTTTGGAAATCTGGATTCCATAGTCTAGACTCATTTTCGACGAAAGGTATCTCGACCTTCCCATTGGCCAGCTGGATGTAGTCTCCTTTCCAGTGTGCGTGGCCTGAGCGCTCTTTAGCCGGAAACGCGAACTCGAGATAAAAAAATATGTATTCCGTGAAATAATCAGACATAATTAGTTTTCCTGGTCTCGACCCGTTCTGGATCCCGTGATCTAAGCTAGCTCCTTCGAGATCGAGCAGGCAGTGGCACGAACTTGACAACGCGCTTAACGAGGCCGCGGACGCACGGAATGGCGACCGGAAGATACAAGGTTCGTTCGAATGCAATACTGACTCACAGTTGTTTTATCTGCGACGATGTATCAATCCGACTACGTCGGAACAACGGTCAAGGATTCTTTTCACGAGCATCGCGCCGTGTAATAATTAAAAAGCATTCAACTATATTTTCAATATTCTGCGAACGACTGCGCGCGGCGTTACTCGTTCGAGGAATAATTAATTTTAGTCTATTCTTAGAATTAGTGTATCTTACAATTATATCTGGAACTAGATAGGTAGATATTATGAATGCCTGTAGATTCTCGTGATAATTAGTGATTAAATACTGAATTCACAATAATTGAACAGGTATTTTATATAAATTCAATAGAATCGTCGAATTTATTTGAACGTTAACCCTTTGCAGACGGATGTCGACATTTTGGCGAGATCGAGTTTTCTTATTTGGAAGACTAAGTTGCAGACAAATGATATAATTATTTAATCAGCAAGAGATCAGCATGTAGTTTCCTTTTTTTCTGTTTTTTAAGCAATGAATGTATAATTTAGCTTCATCTGCTGAAGATTTTATAGAAAGAATCTTCGTGAGTGAAGGATTAAATGTAAAATTGGTGAAATTAAAATTATGTTAAATATAATTCTGTAGTATGATTGTTGTAGTTAGAAGTTTCTATAGATAAATTTTGCTTTTGCAAGTGCAATCGTGAGCACATTTCATTACTCTGATTACCATCGCGTGATGGACACCTAATTTATTTCGACACGCGAAACCTGTTTACGTAAAGGACCAATTTTATTTCCTCGTCAGAAGAACTCTATCGGATCTTGTTCCGATGCACCGTGAATGGTACGAATCTATAATTACTACGGTGAATCATCAATACCTTAATTCATTCGGAACTTCGATTATTCATTACTTACCTGAGCCGTTCACGAAGATTTACATCCCATGTATCGATTACCATAATTGATTGCCGAAAGCAGTTATTCATTCGATGCATTCATAGAAACTTTCGAATGTGCCGAAAACAATTAACGGGAGACACCAAGAGACGTTAATTGAATCATTGATTTTACATCAGTCTGGTGGAATGATCGATACGGGAAATCAATTTTTCTCGATCCCTGTATTTTGAGACGGTGTTTCTACGAATGTTTTAATTTGAATTCATTGTATCATACGTTTAATATACAATGTAATAATTATTAATTATTAGTAATATAATTATTAATAAGTTAATAACTATATACTTAATTCCAATAAGAGTTACCATCGACCAATAGCATCGTGTATTTTACAAATTAAAAGTGACACATGGGACCGCGACGACTGCAATTTGTAGCAACGATGACTCTAATTGTCCGACGAGGGATTTATTACCCGAGGTCCACAGATCGACAACGATTTGCGCGGAAGAATCAGCCACGGACAACTCGAATTGATTACTTTGGTCAGAATGCAATTAAAACGCGTTACGTAAAAAAATCAGATAGGCCGACCAATTATTTCTCTTCCTGTTGTTTCGCGGTGGCATCCAACACCTCCGATTCGACAGTTATCCACAATATATAAATGTCGTGGCCAGGCATCGGCAGGCATCAGTCAGTTTGCGAGTATTCCTGTTTAACCAGTGGGATTTTTCAACACACACGAGAATGAAGTCGTTCCTGGCCGCCTGCACTTTCTTCCTCGTCGCAGTGAGTACATTGTAACGTTAAGGTGTCGTCGTATGAGGGAAACACGAAGTATTGTTGATAACATTGTCGTGTAATGTAACATGTTCATTACTTTCGTAATGTAAAATTGTAATGTATAATTTATATAACGTAAAATTTACATAATGCACAATTTATATAACGTAAAATTTACGTAATATAGCGAAATAATCATCGAATCAGATTAAAATGTTATCAGTGAATATATATAATATCTCAGTTTTCCAAGTGATTCGTTTCCCACGTTTACTCTTTTTTATTTTTCAACTTACGATTTTCCTTGTAAGATTGCCGGCGGTAACATGTGTCCGTGCGAATATGGTAATCAGATGTATTCAACTTAGCAATTGAATGCAACGAACGGAATATTGAATAATGGTACTTTGAATACATTAAACACAGCGTATTGTAATTTGTATTCGGAAACAATCATTTTGAATAGAAATGTAGTTTAGAGAAAAGAAGTTGCTTAGTATTGAAATAGAATCGCTTCGCATGTGAACAGTGCGATGACAATAGAGGAAACGTCAACTTCTTTAAGACTAGAATTGTCAAGCAATTAGAGTAACATGTTTCTAATGTTTTATAATAATTACAATACAATCACAATACATTTCTCAAGATCACGTTGCTCTTATTTTGGTATTTGTACAAATATACAGATTTATTTTACAATTGTAATTGTCTCGTTAGAATTGTAGTCTAAAAACTTCCAAAATAAAAATTCTGAAATGGTTGAATTTAATTAATTTTACGGTTTTAGCGTTGATTTACTTTTACACGCAGATCGTTCTTAGATTGATTAACATTTTCAGGCACTCGTGCGCGGTGATGCATCGGAGGATATGAAGAAATACGTAGAATCCACGCAGGAGATGTTCGCAGAGTGCGCTACAGAAGCCGGACTGTCAAGTATGCAGAAATCAGAAAATGTCTTTCGGTCACTCGTTGCTTTCATACGTAAACTCGAAAATATAAAGATTCGTGGGAATCTTAGGAACACGAAATATATATCTACTTTTCAGAGCTAACTCCGTTCAATACGAAATCGTAGAACTTTTACAAAATTTTATTATATCATATTTCTTCATCTATTTTTTCATTATACGTGTATATTAATTTTTTTATGTCATTCATAATATTATAATATTCTATATTTTCATAAATTTTTATGTTTTTATAGAAATGCATTTATATTATTGTCATAAATACATTTTATATATTTTTTATTATAAGATATTAGACCAGCTAACAATAAGCCGCAAAGAAAATCATGAGGCGAAGGGTTAATGAAACTTTCGCGCGTTTCAGGCGATATATCAAATGTTATGCCGGACGAGTTGTCGGACGAAGAAAAGAACAAATTTGGCTGCATGCACGCCTGCATAATGAAGAAGACTAACGTTGTGAGTGAAATATCTTAGAATAATAACGCTTGATAACTGAACCGTTAATGACCACGTAAAATCGCATAATCGTGAGCAGATTTAACCGTTTGAATAACGATTCTCCGTGATATTGCCTAAAAGTGTAAGGTTATCGGTTGATAAATTCAAATTAAGTTTATTTACTTGTTTCCCTTCTAACTATACATTTTTATTTTTGTTATTACCTACTTAGAAGTGGAAAAATAGAATGATCACACTATTTTGAACTTTTTTACGTGAAAGTAGAAAAAAGTTCACTTTCTGAACTGAAACCAAAGACATGGCACTGAAACGGTCAACTTTGGTTTACTTTCGTGTAAGGAGAGCAGTCATTAAAATCTTCGATTCTTCGGATTTCGGAGAGTTTGAGGATCTACGAACGCTGAAAGATCTTATTTGAATGTTTAAAACGATACAATGATAAAATATTCAACTACACTGCCCACATTAAATTCCAAGATATATACAATTACATTATAAATAATTGTAATTGATCTTTTAGTGGGACGGAAGCCAATTTGATATGGACAAGATGAAGGAACAGGTTAGCGATATATACAAAGACAAGGCGGACGATGTGATGAAGGTTATAGACAAGTGTGTCGCGGAAGGTAAAAATCAACAACGATAAATTAATCCTTTGCTAGATTAAAAATTGAACTTAGACAAATCTTCTTCTCGTCCAGTAGACTTTCGTAATTTTTTCGGTACACGAACGTTTGAATGAATTTAACGTACATATATATTAAAATATGCTAGCGGCAATAAAGTATTAAGTAATTGTTCCGAATCACGGTCCCAAATTGGACGTGAATTTTTAGGGCAGTTTTAGGAAAAAATTGTATAAAAAACTTATAGAGAAAAGTTTAAAAATAAATTTTCGACTAAAGTTATGGAAAAAAGTTACAGGAAGAAGTTCGAAAAAAATGTTTTACAATAAAGTTACGGATAGAAGGTTAAGAAAAGAATATTGAGAAACGTTCCGTTGATTTTTCCGATGAATATAAAATGAAATATGCTCTACATTAATTTCGAACAATTGCCAAACATTATTTGTATCGAACATGATAATGTATTGTCAATCAACAAACACGATCCATGAAGTTGTCAGGACTTCAAATCGTTGATTACTGGTTAAAGAGAAAATAATCTGATAGATAGATAAATAGATGTTAATCGATCGTTGATCATTTCAGTGAAGGATGCCGGCGACGAGTGTACCGTAGCGTTTATGCTAATGGCGTGCGCAAAGAAAGAAATGGAATAGTACTTCCTTTGTCCCGCCGGAACGTCGAGCTTAACCGAACCAGAGGTGTATGGGAGAAAACTTTGAACTATTGTACAAATTTCAGGGAAATGATAAGTCACAAAAAATACTGAAAAAAAAAGAAAAAGAAACTTTCGTTAATAGTGTTGATTATTTTTCGCATGCAATATCCTTAACTGAATGATCGCGCGATCATTCCAACGGTACTGCGTAAAAAGATCATGTTTCGAGATCCTTCAACATATTGTGTACACATTATAGATGAATGATCATAAAAAAATACTAAAAAGAAACATTTTTGTCAATAGTCTTGATTATTTCTTACAAGTGATCCACCTACATATAGATTCGACGGAACAAATTGATCGAACGATCATTTCGGCGATGTCGCGTAAAAAGATCACGTTCCGAGATCCTTTAGCGAATGTGTGCAAACTTTAGATGAATGATTGATGATAAAATGTACTAAAAATAAGAAAACATTCTAGTCAGCTATATATTCCAAATGATTTGCTTAAACGTAAATGCTATGAAACAAATTAATCGACACGCGATCGTTTCGATGATGTGACGTAAAAAAGAGCAAGTCTCATGATCCTTCTAGAAGATGTGTATAAATGTCAGAGGATTGATCGATCATAAGAAATATTGAGAAATAACGTTTCTAACCGTTTCTAAATATTAGAGCAATGCTTTAATCAACGATGCCAATTATTTTCTGCACGCAATCCTCTCAACAGGGAATTGATTCAATGAAAACATTACGTAAAACGATTACATTTGAAAATCCTTTGAGGAAACGTGATACAAATCAATCCTGGATAATTGTTTTCATTATTCTAAATGATAGTACATTAGTTCGATAGTCATCGTAATTATTTCTTGTATAAACGGGTGTGGCGTGTTGGCGAGAGTCCGGTAATCAATGTTGTAAATGTAAAATAGGTCACAATGCATCGAACCATCAATTAACGTTCTTTTTTTTTTAATAGCAGCGTACGAGGTCGAGTTTATTATTCGCGAGAGATTTTTTATCGCTGCACCGGCAGTATAAATATTGCGATGTGCGTATGGAAGGATTCAGTCTTGTGAATAGTTTCTCTCCGTGGAAGTTATTGGGAATCAATCGAAATGAAGAGCGCTTTGGTCGTCGCGTTCCTCTTCTTCGCCGTGAGTATCGACACCTTTGGATTGCTGCCACTATTGTTATCCGCCTGTATCGTTATAATGTATATTCCTAATCGAAGCGATAGTTAAAGTTGCAATATAAAATTGAAACGATGGCTTCAGTTTTTCTTTTCGTCAATGAACGCGACACGTTGCGATTGTTTTGTGAAACTATGTGAAACACGCCAGTAGCAGATTAACACGTTGACTGCCACGTCGGTCACCGATGACCTCCACAGTACATGACAATAATTATAATTTGTCAGATAACTAATGTCGAATGGAAATATTTCCTAGTCTAAATTAATAGATAACAGTGTAACGTAAGCATTGCGATACCAAATAATAAGTAACTCTTCCTCTTTATATTTGCTACAACAGAGTAAGCGATACATAAAACTCTGAAGGATTTCGTGGCAGGCAACGTATTGACAAATAAGATTAGAGTAGAGTTTAAAATTTTCAAATGAATGGAAATAATTGAATTTAAAAACAAAATGGAGAGGCTAATTTTTATTTAAAAAGATGAGAAGTAATATTTGAAAGCTTTAAAAGATGAATATTAAAATTTCAAAGGAGTATCTAAATTTTAGTTTATGTCAATGGAAATGTTTGTCTTGTACGCGTGTTCGCACAAGTGACAAAATTGGAAATGAAAAGTTTAAACTGCGTTTAGAAGTGATCGTTGATAATCTTTTCATAACATTCAGTACGCTAGTGCGGATACCGTGGATATCTACTTGGAATACACTAAGGATGCGCAAACAGCCTGCGCGAAGGAGATGGGTCTCCCTGAGAGTAAGTGTAAATTTTTCGAAAATATTCCCCGAACTATTCAAATTTCACTTCAATTTCAACTTTTCATAAATTTTTAATCGAGCTCGCAGTAAACGTTTAATGAATTCAATGTTTAATAAATCGACATGAACTTAGAAGTCTGAAACTAAATGAAAATCCACAGAATAACGATTGTAAGAAGTGAACATTTTATATTAGAGTCCATAATTAAGTTTTAAAGAAATTCATCATTTTAAAGAGGACACCAAATAACGAAGATATAGGAGATTATGTAGCGAAGTCTAATAGAAAGTGTAATCTCTGTTTAAAAACGTTAGAGACACCTCGAGAAACATTCGACACGGACGTTAAAACGGGAGTAGACGGAGCCACTTGTTTGCGTGCTTGTACGATGGAGAAAATGGGTCTGGTACGATAGAAACAAAAATTAAAGTTACTAGGTGAAAAATGTAATTTCATAATGTTCAGAATAATTAATTTTCATTTTGTAATAAGTTAAAAGACTCGACGCTGGTAGAAGAAAAAATGCACGACTTCGTTAAGATGGTGCACGCAAAGAATCCAGAAATGCTTTCGGCCGTGCAGAAAGTAACAACGGAGTGCATAGAAACAGGTGAGTCATAGAACGCGGAAGAATAAATTGAAATTCAATGTTACGATTGTTCTACGATTAATGCGTCGTTCGTTTCAGTGAAACCTGTGACCGACAAATGCAAAAAGGCGTTTTCCTTCGCCGAATGTTTCCTGAGCAAGCAGTGAAGTGAACTCTGATCTTAATGCACTAGATTAAAATAAATATCAATGAATATAAATATCGATTGAATAATATGACTATAGAAGAGATTACAGATACTTTTCCCGTACAGATTTTGTTTTCTTTATTAGCCTTGTCTCAACTGATTCATTTCAGAAAGCAAAACTTTAAGGATATATTCTAACCTCTCAACATCTGATATGAAAAGTTCAACTATTCGATAATATTTGCTCTATCCATTGATTCGCTTTTCTCCTCGCAGAGGTTGTACTATATTCTATTTACGAAAATTCTTAAAAATCCATTTGTACTCGATTAATATCCTATAAAAAGAAATTCTTGCTCTAAGAATATTAGGCTACATAAACTGTGACTAAGTCTGTGAAAATGAAGTCTGACTGTATAAAAATCTCAAAAAATCTTCTAATTCTAATTCATCTAGCTCTACACCTAACTCTATAATCCTACACCATTTCGATCCATCTAAAGCGCCGTTAACTCGTTCGCATAAGAAGACCAAACGAAGAAACCGAGAGTGGCATGATATTTCGCTAGACGCAGGTTTCCCGCGAGAATTACAGCGTTGGTTGTTGGCCAATGCCATCCTTAATGCCACAGCCCCAATCCAGTAATTTCCGTGGTCGGGTACGCGCCTCGATCGCAAACAATCATTTTCACGTGACGATTCTGACACGAGCTGGCCGGTAATGAGGACGTTTCGGGTGTACTTGACACGATCTTGCGTAATTCGGTTTAAATCGGGGGAATTATCTCGTTTCCTGCCGCGCGCCGTGTCATGTCCGAACACCTGGCTATTCTGACCTCTATATAAGCGATCGTCCCAGAGGAATCGCGATTCACCAGTAGCCGGATCAACGAAATCTGCCTCCAGGTCGTATTATCAACGCAAGAATGAAGATTATCATCGCTGTAGCTTGCCTATTGGCCATCGCGGTGAGTCTGAGCTAGATCTGGGCTAAGTCCACATCTCGGAATCGAGGAAAGTATAAACTTGTCATCAAATTAACGTCATTAGACCTTAAGGATGAGTGCAGAGTTTTCTTCTTTCCCAATGTTTAAGAATTTGACGTGTAACATAGATTCTTATCAAGAGGACTTTGAATATTTTCATATTTAAGCTTACCTATTCATCGCGGTGAGTTTCGATTGGATTTGGGTTAAATTAACGTCATCAGACCATCATATCCATAATGGACAACATGAACAGATAATTTAATGGTTCTCAAGATAAACGATCAGTGTACAGATTTGTTCGTTTTTAGTATTTAAGAGCTTGACGTGTAACGTAGCTTCCCATGAAGAAGGTTACGAATATTTTCGTACTCAACCGATCGAAGTATGAATCCAGTATCCTATATTTCATTATACACTTTGAAATTCTATATTCAGGTATCGTACATTATTCTTAATTGGAGTACGTATGTCCCATTAATCTTTTCACCTATGATCATAATTTTCCATTGGTAGTGCAGCTACGAAGTATTAAAAACGCCACGAAATTATTTATTTTCAATAAAACTGTGAATAAACGGGAAAGAAGAAGAGTTATAGCCTTATCCTAGCCACGATACTTAACATATATTCGAAGGATAACGCCGGAGTAGCAGCCGACCGGTGCGATTAAATTAAGTTTAACTCTCTTAAAGGTTAAACTCTCCCGAAATACATAATAGTAAATCCTCCCGTGGACTTTACTGTAATAATAAAAGGCACAATAAAATAGAGGAAGCGTTTAATCGGTCAGAAATCTTTACGAGTTTCGTTTCCAGAGCTCCGCGCGCGGTCTGGACCAGGACGCCGTCATAGCTAAGTACATGGAGTATCTGATGCCGGACGTGAAACCGTGCGCGGACGAGTTCCACATGACTGAAGGTGAAAAGACATTTTTTTCTTAACCCATTCGAAGCCAATTACACATCAGACGTGCAATACAGTACTTAAACCAAAAAGGCCAATCACAGGCGAATAAAGTAGAAATTAAAGGCGTGTAAGAATTGAAACTTGTATAGGATTCAAGTTAAGATCTCAAAGTGAATGTTGATGAAGTAACATAAATGTTCACTACAAACTGAGAAACGATTTTGACTTTTGGGCTGTTGTCTTTCAAAACTATCCTGGCCTTGAATGTGTCAACATTAGAACTACCGAGTATTTAATATAAGTAACACGCATTTCTTATAAAAATTCTAACAGTAGACATTTCTTGGTCTCTTCATAGATTTATTACGGAATTCAGGTGAAACTATTTATTTTTAAACTCATTTCAGATATTATATGATGTTATATTTACGGATACTATATGACACGACAGAAGCAACTCTCACATGTTTTTTCATAGAAATATTAGGTCGTCCATAAGTTCGTACCGTTCATTTTTCTATTATATATAAAATAATATATTATTAAACATAAAATTCTTATGACTTCGCTCGTATCACTCTGTGATACGATTACAAAACGTAATGCGGGAAGTATAAACATACCGTGGTACGAACCTATGGGACGACATAACATGAAACTAGAGTTTTCACTATCGGAAACAATAGACACAATGTTACGTTACTTACACCGTGAGGAGTAAGTTACTTTTGAAAACCTTTTTTGCACGTTTCCTGAAGAATGCTGAATTACTGGTGCCTTTACATCTTCTATTTAGATAGCAAACGCTTTAAAAAGAGAGCGAAGATCACTTGGTCGGGACACGGGGAAATAATCGAAATATTTGTTCCGCTTTAGAGCAAGCCTCGAACATTCAAACGGCCGCGGCCACCATGGACCTCAGGCAGATGGGTTGCATGAAGGCGTGCGTCATGAAACGGATGAACATTGTAAGCGAATCATTCTAAATGGAATTGTTGATCGGTTACACAGTTTTTGGAAGCAGTTCCCTTTAACTTTTATCTCGGTTACAGCTGACTGGTCTTGACTTCCATTTAGAACCGATTTATAAGATGATCGACACCGTGCACACTGGAAATGATGGAGAGATCGCGGATGTGAGGAACATTGCTGAGAGCTGTGTCGCTGAGAGTAAGTCACAGTGATGTTTGTTCATAGAATCAACGAGCTCAACGAAAGAATTCAACGTTCGAAAATCGAACCTTTGTCGATGATTAGTGAAGGGACTTAATTATTTAGAACAGTTTTGCCTAGTATTGAATTGATCTTTAAGAGTAGGGTTGTCTAATATTGACTTAATCTTTGAAAGTAGATTTATCTACTATTTCTTTCTTCTCGTCGATCCGATAACTGAAAATAACGTTTTCAAACACTCAATAGAAAATAAACGGTAGAGAAATATATTTAAAAAGCAATCAGGGCATATCGCCTAAACTGTTTCTAATATACGAGGCTAACTTATGCCAGTTTTCGAACAACTCAACCGCGATTTTCTATTTCTCAACACGCTTTTCTGTTACAGTCAATGGAGAGACTGACGAGTGCAACATCGGCAACAAATACACCGACTGCTATATAGCAAAGCTTTTCAGCTGAGGTAATTCGCTAAAAGATTGTTCTCGGAAGTTCTTCAACCGTCCGATGTCAACCAAGTATATAATGTTCAATAAAATAGTATAGAAATTACCTATCGTGTCTGATCTTCTCCGTCTTCATCTTCCGCCTCCAAAAGAAAATCAATTTTTACCAACTTCTGAAAACCCGAGTCAACCGTTTCTCTCTTCCCTCGCCTATAAAATATAATGTTTCAACTTTCTGCATCCTATGTAATGTATCGACGCATTATCGAAACAACCCTCTCGATAAAATAAAAACCAGAAAAGGGTTCGCTTCTCGTGGCAGTTCCTTTCTTAACATTCTTGCCTCGTCGATCAAACGAAATTCGGTTTGTTGGTTATCTCAGCATAAAAATGAATTATTAAACGTATGCAAAGCGAGTCAGCGACATAACAATGAGTCAAAGGATAATCCTAACCTTTCTCGAGCTTTTTATTTTTATAAATAGATAGCCATCGAATCGCGAGGGAGGACCTTTTAGCCGGCCCTTCTGTTTCATTAATAAGAATGAGATTAAGGTGGCAGAGACGATTCGGGCCAGTTACACGGACACTAGCCACCGCTTATGAATAAACAAAGCGACGTTAACGCGTTATGAATAATTAAGCTGCACTCGGGACGCGGACACCGCATGCATTTTAACGTGGTGCCATCTAATGCCTTCGGCCACCCTGCGCACACCCGTTGCCTATCGATAATCTATTCACGGAATACATCGGCCTATTACATCAACATTCCTTCAGAATATACGCAACCACATCGATGTGGAATGGTATCGAGGAAACACGAGCGTGAGAATTAGAGCAATGAATATAATATAATATATTTGCACAACTACAGCAACAGAATAACCTCCTTCTCAACGAATTGTAAACATTCGAAGATCCGCATGAGTGAAACCAAACGCAGTTTCGAAGATTACAGTCACCCCTTTAGAATGACTCCCTGAAACTAGTTGCATATTTATGGTTTCACTTTTATATTTCCACCTTTTTCCTCTATTCCAGTTTCTGCCTTTAAACCTAGAAAACAGGGAACCATATTCAACACTAGACCTACTGAGCATGCCATACGATTAACACGCAATCCATACAACAATTGTAATAATAGATTCTTTTCAGTATCTCAATAGAATGATTACAGTATCCAAGCGAAGCTATTTAACTTTAAAACCAATTCAGATATTTAACACTTTAAGATATCAATGATTACGAATTATATTAGATATCCAATATATATTAAACATGTAATACCAATTAATATCAAATTAGCTCACTATTGAATCTTCCAATAATAAAAACGAAATGATCTACAGATCACAGTACACTACCTCCAACAGAAAAAAGAATTCGAGAGAATCGAAAGAAGCGGATTAACCTTTTGTCCTATCACGAGTGAGACTCCTGAAGATTATCAAATTAATTTAACAAGAACCAATATTCCTAACACATAGACCGTAGCAAAAGACTTTTACTGTTTTCAATACTTCAAATTTACTACAAACTGACAGTAAATAAAGCATCTCTTATCATTTCTCGCAAAAGCATTGCCAAGAAGATTAATTGCTTAATCTTAACTGCAAAGGGGTTGACCCCAAGAATTCGAGCAAACGAATTCGTTCCCGCGTCAACGTTGTATTCATCGTGCATCTATCATTCCTAGCAGCGTTTCCCGCGGGAAGCGTTACCGTATCGGTTTCCGATTCCATGAAGGGTGGCCCCCGTACCAGCGCCGCCGCGATACACGCCGTAAAATCGTGGCCACGGTTATGACACGAAGACGAGCGACCGATCCGCGTTACTCTTGCACGCGGCTCACGTTGTCAGCCGGTATAATGTACCCCGTAATGGTCGAAGTTGGCTTGGCATACACCGTGGAATAAAGTTACGGGCGACCTTACACGAGCGAGCGAACTGGCTGGCTTCGAGAGGGACACTTTTGCAAATGGTCGGCTTTGCGAGCGATTACAGACGCCAGCTACATTTCCGATGGAACTGCCGGCGAACCGGCGGAATGCTAAACGATCCACGGATCTACGGGAAAAAGGATCGAGCCGTCGGATGATCGTGCTGCGAATTCGGTGTTCCACGGATTCCAACTGTTCCGGAAAGTATGTTCAGCAATGCTCGCTTAAATTTTATAGAAATCTGCTCCACTTAATTCCACTACGCCATCCCTACTCTTGCCCCACTACTCACAAGGGGAGGACCAGACATAAAAATCTGTTTTTGAATAAAAGCTAGTGCATGTTACAGTACATATCTAGAAATGAGAAACCCTGATGCTTTTTCGACAATGAATACAATAAGGGGAAGAGAGACAGACACAAGTCAAAAAGATGTCGCGCTCGTCAAGTATAAACATGCAACGAAGAGAATTTCGATTGGAATAATTTAAACCTTACCTTCTCAGTCGTAATGCCGATAGGGTGTTGAGATCCTTCTCATTACAATGAGTTCAACGCACATCTTGAAAATTACGCGTGCACTTGAACAATCTCGAACGCGAAAAGAATGTTTGACGTTGAGAAATGAGTAGCCATGAAGAAACCTGTGTAGTATGAAATATTTACAAATTACGATATCGTTATGAATTACCATGAAGAGAAGAAATAACAAAGCTGGCTATAAAATTAGTTGCAGTGTTCAATACATTCACAGTGTTTAAGAAAATATAATGTTCTCGGAACGCATGACGATAGAAGAAGCGGGAGATCAGCGTAGATAAGGCACGCGCCGTTTGTTTTCAACGAGTTTCTCGGCTACTCGGGAAAAGAAGCGAGCACGTGCACCTAGAAAAATAGAGACATTTCGTTTTACGTAAGAACAAGCCTCGTCTGCGGGTGCTCAGCGGAAAATTAAGGAAAATGGCAATTACGGGGCAATCGTGGCATTGTTAGTTAAACAAGCTCGCTGTTTGTTGCTTGCCGGGAAACGGCGAACGTTTCGTTGCTGAACGTCGCGTACTCAAAACAAAAATTTGTTTTAAATCCGAAACGCTCGTCAACCGTGTCGACCTTCCCGATGTCAAATATAAAAGCCAGGTGGCAGGCGACGGATCGTTACAGTTTTGCAAAATATTTTCGCGGGACACCGTCAGTTTCACAATTTCATTCGGCGGGACTGTTCGCACGGGACCATGAACAGCATTCTCTTTTTCGTCTGCGTTCTCGCTGCCTGCGTAAGTAGACAACGATCATGTTTCGATTCGGTACTGTTAAAAATTCGTTATCAAATCTGTTATAATCAAATCCATGAAACATTTTTATGCTCTATTTTTCATTTTTCGTTTTTCATTTTTCAATTTTCATATTTTTCGCCTTGTCGTTCAAATATATCCGTGCTTATTTATTTCTATAATGTACGAAAACCGTATTGCGCACTGCCGCTCGTAAATTTGCAGCTTTATTACATAGATTTAAAGAAAGAAACAAATATATGACGAGTTACGAAAAAGAAAGCCACCTGTAAAAGTTTGCCGGTGAACGATAAGATTCTACGTAATACGTGATATTACATATTCGGTGACACGATTAATCAAGTCAACGTTGAACGGTTTAGGTGACAACCCAAGGATACCAGATTCGACAATTAGCGGACGTGCTGGACATATCGAGGGATCAGTTCGACGAATGCGTGAAAAACAATGGATTAAACGACGGTATAGACAATGCTTGACATTAAAACATTATTGCATGTATTGTAATAATTATATATTAACAAAACACCAGGAAATTTGTCGTTTTCCTATAGTACTCATTGCCGGTGAAAATGAAGGAAATCTCAAGCTAATTGCTCGCACACTTCTAATGTTGAAATAGGGACAAAATTTCGAAAACTTCTTTTGAAATATTGATCTTGTAACGATCTGTTGTTTGAAATGATGAACTTTCCGTTAAAAAGGAGTCGCAAATGGAAAGGATCTAAAGTATAAAATATTTTGTGTCTCATAAAAGTAAGAAAGGTATTTGACGAATTGCAAAGAACGTCAATTCGAGACTTATTGAATAACAAAAGAAAAAATGATAAAAATAAAAGGCAATTGGCTAAGGGAAAAGTGGGAGATCTCCCTATTTGGTTGGCTAAGTGTTCATTTTGTTTGTTGACTTTACAGACGACTTCTCGAAGATCCATCCGCTTTTATTCAAAACCGAGATGAGCGAGGACGAGAAGAATTTAATGAAGAACTTCAGCTGCTTCATGGCCTGTACCTTCGAGAACGCGAAAATCGTAAGTGTTCATTCTTCTTGTCGGAAGATTTTGAAAATTCAAATGACATGCAACAATCTTTTCAGATGAAGGACGATAAAGTTGAACTGAAACCTTTGTTGAAGATAGTGGAGAAAAGCAATATTTTCTTGAATCCAGAGATAAAAGAGATTTTGAACGACTGTGTCGACGAAGGTGAGTCTCAAAGAACATTCCCAAAAATATTCATCGCGATTGCTTGGAAATCCCATAGAAAATCGTTATGGGAAAGAATTACATGGAAATAAAGTTAAACCCGCTGTGTTCCTCAAATCCTTTTTAATCGAGTCATTTTTTAATTACTTTGTCGCCATTTTGTTTCTCAATTTGATCGCGGTTTTATTTTGTCAAAAATATTTTTGAACCTAAGAACAGTATCTGTAAAAAAATAATTGTTAGACCACGTGTTTTAATATTTCCAATAATATCTCATATGTACAGATGTACCAGAGATTTTAGCAGAGTTAAAAACTAATTTGAAAACATCAACATTCCAGAATGTAGAATCGAAAAATGATTGATTTCCTCTAAAATCACTGAACAAACAAATTACGTTTACTCGTTAATAATCGAACAAATGAAAAACAATCGCGAAAAAAAATCACAATTCGTGAAGATTATCTCAATTCCATGGAGAACTCCTTTACGGATTTTCGTTGAAAATCATTGTAATAAACTTCGAAGAGTTAATAAAACGTAAAAAATGAAAGGAATACTAATAATTTAACGTTTCAGCGGGAAAGCGGTCTGACAAATGCGACGCGGCCTTCGATTTCTCAAGCTGCATGCTACGAAAACTTCGGTATGGCTGAAAATAGCTCGATGACTGATAATAAGCCAATCCAAATAGCATCGCACTGTAATTGCTTTGTAAACTGCTGAAGCGAAGCGTCGTTGATTATCAATAAATCAATATTTCGAAAAAATCGACCCTTGTGATTCTTTTATACGTTACTCATCCTACGAATATAAAATTAACAGAAGCTTTAAGGATTTTTACGTGTCAGTAGATAACATAACTTGATCGATTATCCTGAAGTAATAATTGCAACAACATAATCACCTTCCAATTTTTAATTTAAGAATCGCGCAACCTGAACGATTTCAAGATAAAATGTAATTGAGTTTTCCAAATAAAAATACGTTTGAAGTAAATTTCTTTCCTAGAAAGTAAACCATTGTGATTCATTCTTGAAACTCTTTTTTATCATTTTCATGCATCAACAAGATTCATTAATACTAAAACTATCGCGGCTGTTCAAATGACAGGTTTTAGTTTTCTCATTCCATCATTATTGCCACCCTAAAAATGTAAATGTAATTATCCAAAATGATTTTAAATATAATTTCGCTTGAATGCTACAACGAATATATGAAAAAAAACTAAGAAAATATTATATTAATACTACAACTACGAGACAGATCAAAATGACCCATTCCTAATTTCGTCCTTTCGCGATTACTGAAGAACTAGCAAATAGTTCTCTGAGACATTACTAAAGAAACCGATTTAGCAATATGCAAACCGAATTTTAAATCGGTGGAAATATCAATAGATGCAACCTTGGACTTACCGCAGAGAAATTTCAAGAAGTCAATTTTATGAGATTTTCAACTTACGGTAAATATCGATGTACCTTCAGGGAGTTCCGTTCCTCCCGACTATCCCGTTAATCGATTCGAAAACAGATGTTTCCCACTGAAAGCTTTCGCTAAGTCGTCTCATGTTCCTTCTATTTACTTAAACAAGCTGGATACACTTGTCGTTTGATTTATCGTGCAACGTGAATGCAACCGCTCCGTGACATTATTTCCTCAACTTTAACCTCTTCTGCACGAGTATAAATCATCTGATTTGCTTAATCGATGACAGTCGATCACTTACTGTCGTTCACTGAAAACGAGAAACGGAAAATCATGAAGTGGTTAGTGTTGCTTGCGTTCGTCGCCATAGCTGCGGTAAGTTACTCGATTTTAACACCCATATTTTCAATCGTTCACACTCTCAAAAAATTGTGTATAAGTTTTAAGCGACAGAAAAGATCAAGACATGAATGGAAACCTCGAATAAGGATCTATGTTATATTTCTATTACAACAGAATCAATTAAATTACTTGATTCGTTACAGTAGAATTACGAAAATTGATGTTTAATATTAAATTTATCAAAATGTATCAATATGTATACTATAAGAGTATACCATGATTTTAGAATCCTCGTAGATCATGTTACTTTACCTTTTTCAATCACCGTCAGACGTGAGTTGAAAATATCCTCTGACAAATCGATATCAAAATATATTGATACTGTTTTTTAATTAATTCGGAGATAGACCGTGGGATGGTCGAGTTTCGATAATATTATCGACCGTGATCGACAGGTAATCGTTACTTTCTTTTTTATTTGTTTCTTCACTTTCCGATTTCATTGATCTTTTGATATTTCGTTGACTCTTACATAATAATTGTTAGGACAACAAGGGGACAATTTTACGACACGGGAATTATTCTTAGAGACGTTCGTGACCAACAGCTTTCCGTCCGGTACTTTAGCAGGCCGGCCTGCAGCCAATATGCGGCACATAAGGGTTCAGCGTAGAAATTAACCATTGTCTAGTTTTTTCACTTCAGTCCAGGTATCATAAAGTCGTATTCCAGAGAGTCTGTTAGAATTTTAGAAAAAGTGTCCTCAAGGATTTTGACCTAATGGAATTTTCCCAGCGTTGCCAAACATTCGTTCAGCATAGCGACCAACTCCGTCATCCCCGCTCCAGGAAACCCGCGCTACAGGCGGACTGGAAGGGGATGAGACAGACGTAGGTACCTTGCGTAGGAAAGGATAGAAAAACCGCCTCTGAGGCCCACCTTCGTATATCGAGAGGGAGGGAGTAGGCCCAGGATCAGTATAAAAACCCTTCAGTTTGAGACATCAGTTTGAGACATCAGTTTGAGACATCAGTTTGAGACATCAGTTTGAGACATCAGTTTGACACATCAGTTTGACAATCAGTATCAGTTCAGTTCAGAGTCAGAAGCAGTTGAGAATCAGCTCAGCTTAAATCAGACTCAGTTGAGAATCAGCTTAGCTATCAGTCAATCAATCATTCAGTCCCAACATTGGGTGGTCCTTCGAAAACCTCAGCATATACTTAAAAGTGCTCGTGACAATAATATAAATACAAATGTCAACAATGTTATAAGTGTTAGTATGCGTGGTTTACACTTATATTTTTGACGACAATTATTCCATCGTATTAATTAATTTCCAAAATTTTATTCTATTCAGGCTGAATTATCGCCGCAAAGGAAGGCTGAACCTTTCTTAAGAAAAGTAGCTGAACTGTTTGAAGTTACAATGGACGATGTTCAAAATTGCGTTAACACTACAAAAACCACGGAAGGTAAAGATTTCAAAGATTAACATAGGTACTGATTATTTGTAATTATGTAGCAGAATCCGATGTAAATTACACAGCCTTCATTCCTTCGTCTATATATCTAAGGATCCTTTTTATTCGAAAGTTAATTCACGATCACCATTTGGTTTGATGTAGTAAAATTAGATAATTTAATAATCGATATTGTAGCAATGCTAGGAATACAAAAATAAAATAGCTCTATCCCCTAATTCAGATGTTGTTTCCCTTCATTCTACTTACACTTTTCCCTTTATACTAATTTGAAGAAAGTAGCATCGATATTTCATCAGAAATTTAAAGAATATTTCTGAAGGAAAAACATTCGAGTTTAAATAGGTTAATATTCGGTGTAAGGTAAAAATTACTTTTACGCTATATTTCACAGAGGATATACTGCACGCGGCCCATAAAGGAAACAACCCGTACGAAGAATACAAGAGGATCTCTTGCCTTATAGCTTGTTGTGCTAAGAAGCAGGGAATGGTAAGTGTAACGGCCTACATTTAAATAATTATAAAGGACTACAAAGAAATGTAACGCTTTACTCAATCATTTCAGATGGCTGGAATGGAGGTGAATGTACCGGTCATAATAGACTTTGTTGTCAAATACCAAAAATTTGATACAACTGACGAATTGAAGAAGTTGCGCCGTACTTTAATTGCTTGCAACGAAAGAGGTATTTACTATAATCATATAATCAATCAACAGACCAATAAAACTCTTCTACAAACATAATCTGCACACATTAATTCATAGAAAATAGCATTAGACAAGAATTTCTCCTTTTCATTCAGAATCAAATTAGGACTCAGTTACCACATTTTCTCACATAAACACTTTTCTCTTTAATTTGATAAAGATTGTTATTTCTTATTGGAAACATTTTCAAAGAATAACATATAGAAATTTCTGGAAAACAATGCTAAACTTTTATTTAATAAATGTATTTGTTTGTACGTATTGAAAATGTAAAGTTTCGAATCCTTTCTATTTCAGTGACGGAAGCAAACGAGTGCGATGCGATCTACCAAGTCTTTGTATGCACTTACTTAACTGACCTGCTTGAATCCTTACACATGTTGTTCACGGCCCCGTGAGAACGCGGTATCCTGAGGGTATCGCTTGAACGCCGGGCCCGCAATAAAATTAAATATTAATATTTTTGTTTTCTGTTTATGTTACATGTATGTAATAAATCCACCATGAAATGAAAAACTGTATTTTTTCTATAATTATAAATTAAAAATTTCGATTTTCTTTCTATCTTTCATGTCCGTTAAATGGTATATGACGAATATGCAATTAAAATGTACTATTTTATAAAAATGTATAATGTCTTGAATATTTTTTTTGGCTACTCATAGATCAGGTATAAGCGAATAAAGCCGGTGTTTGGGCTTTCAGTGGCCGATACGTTACCGGCGTTCAGGCATTAAATGTCTCTTAGGTCGCCGGCACTCAATGTGTTCAGCTCAACTGTCCAATAATTTCCGTGTCAAATAAATAAAAAAAAATGTTGTGAAACGAATTATCCCGCACTACTTTACTTAATAACTGCTTAATACTTTCAACGTTAAACAATTTACTGTATTTTTCATATGTATTATTCATATTTTCCTATTTGGTAATACTTTGTTCTTACTTTTGTGCCACAAACTTTATAAACCGTTATTTCTTTGCTTCTGGTTTACATTAATTGCAATAATTAACGACATCGTTAGATATGGGTTTACACAAAGAATATATTTAACCCAGCGGGGAGTACAGTTGAAAACGTCTTTTACCGCAAAGTTAAGGTAACAGAAATAATGATTTAATGTTGTAGCGAAAAAGTCATCCTAATGTCATCCTGATACTCGAAAACAGATGTGTCTCGCTAAAAGCTTTCGCTAAGTTGAATCACTTTAATTCTATGCGCTTAAATGAACTGTATAATCTTATCGCACAAATTATCGTTAAACATTCACTTTCCATGAATTGTAACCGCTCCGTGGCAAGCTATTCGTCAACTTTAACCTCTTCTGCACGGGTATAAATAATCCGATTTGTTTAATCGATGACAGTCGATCACTTACTGTCGTTCACTGAAAACGAGAAACGGAAAATCATGAAGTGGTTAGTGTTGCTTGCATTCGTCGCCATAGCTGCGGTAAGTCACTCTATTTTAACACCCATATTTTCAATCGTTCACACTCTCAAGAAATTGTGTATAAGTTTTAAGCGACAGAAAAGATCAAGACATGAATGGAAACCTCGAATAAGGATCTATGTTATATTATAAATTACGAAAATTGATATTCAATTGTAAATTTTGTATAATGTTCGATACGTGTACTACAAGAGTATACCATGATTTTAGAATCCTCGTAGATCATTTTATTTTAGCTTTTTCAATCATCGTCAGACGTGAGTTGAAAATATTCTCTCAGAACTTCATATCAAAATATGTTATTATCGTTTTTTAATTAATTGGGAGATAGACCGTGGGATGGTCGAGTTTCGATAATATTATCGACCGTGATCGACAGGTAATCGTTACGTTCTTTTTCATTTGTTACTGCATTTTTTTTAATTCTTATATACTGATATAAATACAAATATTAACAATATTAATTAGTTTTACATGGTTTCCATTCATATTTCTGTCGACAGTTATTCAGCTCACGATTACATTAGATTAATTGTATTCCAAAATTTTATTCTCTCTAGGCATGTTGGCCGCCACAGAAGGTATTGGTGACGGTTATGGCAGTGGTATTCGATCTCACAGTAGACGATGTTCAAAATTGCTTTAACACTTCGAGAATAACATTCGGTAAACATTTCTCTAATCTCTAACGATGACATAAATAATCATTATTTTTAATTATATAGCAGAATCCTATGTAAATTGTACAGCCTTCAAACCTTCGTCTATGTTTTTAAAGACCCTTTTCACTCGAAAGTGAGCTCACGATCAACATTTGGTGTGATGTAGGAAAATTGCTAGGAATACAAAAATAAAATAGCTCTATCTCCTTATTTTCCTTTACCTTAGTTATATTCTTCTCTTTACGTTAATTTGACGAAAAAATTGCATCGATATTTTATCAGAAAATGATAAGTATATTTACAAACGAAAAGCTTGGGAGTTTAAATGAGTTAATATTCGGCGTAAGATAGAAAATATTTTTACATTGTATTTAACAGAGGATCTAATGTTTGCGGGCAACTCTACAACGAGTAATCGCGGGCCATCCGACAACAGATTCTACAAGATCTCTTGCTTTGCAGCATGTTTCGCCCATAAGCAGGGAATCGTGAGTGTAACTGCTACATTTGAATATAACGAATTTTAAAGAAAAATGACGCTTTAATCGATCATTGCAGATGGACGGCATGAAGTTAAACGTGCCGATGGTGATAGACTATTACGTAAGAAGGAAGGTATCGATGCCGTTGAAGAAACTGAAGATGTTCCGCGATGTATTAAATCTTTGCAATGAAGAAGGTAATTAATCATACGATCAGTCGATAGACTAATATAACTTTTCTATAAACATAAATCTATACACATTGATTCATGGAAATTAGAATGAGACAACAATTTCTCCTTTTCATTCAGATTCTAATTAGATCTGAGTTGACGCGTTTTGTCTCGCACAAGCAACTTTTTCTTTAATCTTTTAAAAATCGTTTTTTCTTACTGAAAACATCTTCAAAGAATAATATGTACAAGCTTCTTGAAAAAACTGTTGAACATTTATTTATGAAATATATGTGTTTGTACGAGTTAATGAAAACAATACCAGTGAAGTAAGGTGAAATAGATTAAAAAGGAAACTGTATTAAACTATATTAAACCTGTTGTTACATCGACTTCTGGACATTTAATGCAAACGTGGAAAACTCCAATTTCATTTCCATTGTTACGTCGTTACTATTGTTTAATTAGTCTGCACGAAGGACTGGTTACACACACATTTTCAGAAGATATCAAAATGTGAAGTATCTGATGCTTTCTGTTTCAGTGACGGAAACAAACGACGAGTGCAATGCGATCTACCAGCTCCATGAATGCATTAAGAACAGGAAAGGCTTGCATCTACGTCCAATAATTGCTGGTTTTCCTTTTTACCCAGAACCTTCCTTTCTTTAATACATGCCTTCTCGCAATTCGTGTACGAAAACGTATGTCAGACAATTCAACTGGTCCTTGATCTCAGTGTCAAAATAAATAAAAAAAGAAATTGGGCAACGAATTATCTCATTCCAGTTACTCAATCTTTCCAACGTTAGACAAATCAATTTTCATATAAATACGTTATGGAAACTCGAATATCACGATTCCATAGAAAACTCCTTTATGAATTTTCGCTGAAAGCAATTATGACAAATACAGAGGAGTTAACACTTTGCAGTCTAACGTTGCCATACATGCGGGATCACATTTTTATTCGCTAGGTCGAACGTCACCGCGAAGGCTGCAAAACATAATTTCGTTATCAACACCATCATTGGGTATATTTTCCTATTTGGCAATACTTTGTTCTTACTGCTGTGCCATAAACTTTACAAACCATATTTCTTTGCTTCTCGGTTTACATTAATTGCAATAATTAACGACACCGGTAAATATGGTTGTATATGACGAATATATTTAAGCCAGATGGAATTACAATTGGAAAAGTTCTCGACCGCACAGAGTGGAAATGAAAGAAATAAGAATTTAATTCTGCAGCGGGGAAACAGTTCAAGAAATTGTGACGCAGCCATCGGTTTCTCAGCCTGCACGATTGCCCTCGATTGCTTCTTGTAATCTTATTTTATCGCTTCATTGATCAAATAGGAATGCAATAAATTTTGTTGAATAAAAATATTCCTTCTAATTATCTCAGTTTAAATTGTAATAATTTGAATTGGTCACAAAAATATAATCTCCTCTTAATTGTCCTTCACTAAATTGTAATGACACAAAACAATCGATTCATTAAGGAAAGAAGCTATTAATAAAAGGTCAGGTTGTTAATGAATATTCCAAACAATATGCGGTTTCCAAAATGATTTTGATTTACCACTTGTAGCAGCTGTAAATGTCCATACAGCTTCAGAGGAATATCAGTCCTCGCGGTTATCCCGATAATCGATTCCAAAACAGATGTGTTCCGCGCGAAAGCATAAGCTACGTCGGATCATTTTCCTTCTGTTTATTTATATAAATAAACTGCATACTCTTCACGCTCGATTTATCGTGCAATATGTGCTACAACGCGAATGTAACCGCTCCGTGATATCATTTCTTCAACTTTAACCTCTTGTGCATGGGTATAAATAATCCGATCTGCTTCATCGATGACAGTCGATCACTTACTGTCGTTCACTGAAAACGAGAAACGGAAAACCATGAAGTGGCTGGTGTTGCTTGCATTCCTCGCCATAGCTGCGGTAAGTTACTCAATTTTAATACCCGTATTTTCAATTGTTCACACTCTCAAAAAATTGTGTAGAAGTTTTAAGCGACAGAGAAGATGAAGATATGAATGGAAACCTCGAACAAGGGTCTATGTTACATTTCGATTGAGATTTAATTAACTGATTTGATACAGTGAAATTAGGAAAATTGATATTTAATCTTACATTTTGCAGAATGCACCAATACGTGCAACATTCAGTAAAACAGCCTTCCCCGATTCATTTGTGATTTCTCCTTGAGTTTTGGAAATATGTTTTTCGTTAGAAAATAGTGAGTTCTTTCAGTAGAAAACTTTCTTAAACAATTCCTATTGATCGGTTTACTTTACTGTTTTCAACAGTTGTTATACGTGAGTTGATGTCAACATATATTGTAACTGTTTATCAATTAACTGGGAGATAGACCGTGGGATGGTCGAGTTTCGATAATATTATCCACCGTGATGAACAGGTAATCGTTACGTTCCTTTTCATTTGTTTCTTCTTTTACCGCTTTCATTGACTTTTTGAAGCTGCGTTGATTCTTATGTAATAAAGTGAATATAAATATTAACAATACCATAAACAGTAGTACGCGTGGTTTCGACTCATATCTCTATAGACAATCATTCACATTACGATTGCATGGTATGAATTAAATTCCAAAATTTTATTCTATTTAGGCCGAATTGTCGACAGAAGAGAGGACCGATGTTTTTGTGAGAAAACTATCCAGAATGTTTGATGTCACGGAGGAGGATGTTCAAAATTGTATTAAAACTACGAATACAACGTTGGGTAAGGATTTCTCTAATCTCGTACGATTACATAATCATAATTTTTCATTATATAGCAGAATCCTATATAGATTATACACCCTTCAATCCTTCATTTCTATTTATAAAAACCTTTTATGCGAAAGCCAACTCGATAAACATTTGATTTGATGTAGCAGAATTAAAAAATTTAATACTCCACATTGCAATCTTGCTAGAAATACAAAAATAAAATAGCTCTATCCCCTTATTTCCCTTTACCTTAATTATATTATTTTCTTTATGTTAATTCGAAAAAAATTGCATCGACATTTCATCAGAAAATGATAAGTATATTTAAAAAGGAAAAGCTTTAAAGTAGAAATGGGTTAATATTCGGTGTAAAGTAAAAAATACTTTTATACTGTTTTTTGCAGAGGATGTACTGTACGCGATCAACTATGAAAATGACGACATGGATAGATTTAAGAGAATATCTTGCTTGGCAGCCTGTTGTGCCAAAAAGAAAGGAATGGTGAGTGTAATGGATTACAATTAAAAATAACGAATTATACAGAAATGTAACACTTTAATCGGTCATTTTAGATGGTTGGAATGAAGTTAAGCCCACCGGTAGTGCTGGAGCATTTCACGAAGAATCATCCGCCCATTCCGCCAGAAGATATCAAGAAGTTCAGCGATAGTTTAACTGCTTGCAACGAAGAAGGTAATTAATCATACGATCAATCAATAGACTAACAAAAGTCATCTGTAATGATAAGTTTATACTCAATGAGTCATGGGAATTGAGATCTGACAACAATCTTTCGTTTTCATTCAGAACCTAATTAAGACTCGGTTAAAGTATTCTGTATCGCACAAGCAATTTTTTTTTTTAATTCGATGAAAATTGTTTTTCTTCAGTGAAAACATCTTCAAAGAATAATATATACAAATTTCATTAAATGTATTGCGACATATTTATTTGATAAATATATTTTGTTAGATTTGTGGACAACGTGACGAAAACCTAGAAAATTCCATTTTCCTTTCCATTGTTACGTTGTGACTATAGTTTCATTTGTATGAAGGACTGGTTTCACACTAATTTTCTGAAGATATGAAAAACGTAATGTTCGTAATCCTTTCTATTTCAGTGACGGAAACAGAGAACGAGTGCTCTGCGATGTATCAGCTTGGTGTATGCATTGTCAACAAGAGCATCCACAAATCGCACCCACGTCTGCTCTAATATCCTTCTGATTTCCACCTTTACAGTTGTTGAAAACGTACAATTGTTTCTCTGGGAGATTCTTAAATAAACTAAAACATAAATCAATTGAAATCCCTTGTATCTTATTATTGACCTTAATGAATGTCCTCTCGCAATTCGCGTACGAAAATGTATATCAATTCAACTGCTCGATGGTCTCAGTGTCAAAATAAATAAAAAAAAGTAATTGTGAAACGAATTATTTCACCCTATTTACTTAATACTTCCAACGTTAAAAAATCGTTTCTCTCATATAAATAAATAATGGAAACCTGAAGGTCATAATTCCATAGAAAACTCCTTTACGAAGTTTTGGCGAAAGTAATTATAACAAACACCGAGGAACTAACTCTCGAAAGTCGGGTGTCGTCATGCAAGTAGGATCACACTTTTATTCACTAGGTCAAATGTCGCCGCAAAGGTGGCAAATAATAATTTCGTTACCCATTCCATCATTGGGTATATTTTCCTATTTCACAGTACTTTGTTATTGCAATTGTGTCATTAAGTTTATAAATCGATATTTATTTGCTTCATGGTTTACATTGATTAGAATCATTAACAACAGCGGTAGATATCATTTTAGCCAAAGAATACGTCTGACCCAACAGGGAGTCGGATCCGACTAGCATCGCATCGCAATTGCTTCGTAAATTGCTAAATTGACGCCACTGATTACCAATAAATCAATGTGTCGGAAAAATCGACCCTTTCCATTTTTTTATACATTTCATTTTATATATAAAGTACTAGTCTAATAATTGCAACAACTTAATCATCTTCCCATTTTTAATTCAGAAACCGCATTTCCTGACCGATTTCAGGATAAAACTTAATTGAGTTATCCTAATCAAAATACATTATAACAAACTTCGTTTGTAGGAAATAAAGTATTGTGATTCATTCTTGGAACCCTCTTTTGTTAATAAAAATATATGCTAGTTTTAAGTGCACATTGTGTTGGTCACAAAAAATTACAATCTCTTTCTAATTATCCTTCCTTAAAATGTAATAACACAAAACAATCGATTCAGGAAGTAAGGGAGTTATTAATAAGACGATAGATTGTCAATAAACATTCTAGTTTCATGGGAAGAATGAATAAAAATGTCACATCCCGGAAACTTTCGCGGTTTAATAACAACCAAGCGATGTACGGTTTCTAAAATAATCCTGATTTTCCACTTGCTGCTATAAATATCGATATAGCTTCCAGGAATTCCGTTCCTCACGCCTATTTCGATAATCGATTCGAAAACTGGTGTACTCCGCCGAAAGTTTCCTTTAAGTCGAATCATTTTCCATGTGTTTACGTAGATCAATAAGTTGCATACTATCTTTGTTCCGTTTATTGTATAACGTGTGCTTTAACACGAATGTGACCGCTCCATGACATCATGTCGTCAACTTTAACCTCTCCTGCACTGGTATAAATAATCCGATTTTCTTGATCAATGTCAGTCGAACAATTGCTGTCGTTCACTGGAAACGAGAAACGGAAACCATGAAGTGGCTGTTGTTGCTTGCGTTCGTTGCCGTTGCTACGGTGAGAACACGACTTTAATATACATATTTTGAATTTTTCATACTACGAAAAAATTGTCTATAAGTTTTGAGCGAAAGAAAACATCAAGATATGAATGAAAACCACGAATAAAGTTCTTGTTATATTCCAAATGAGATTCAATTAACTGATTTAATGCAGCAAAATTACGAAAATTGACATATAACATTTAGTTTTGCAGAATGCACCAATATATGTAATAGAATGGAATACTTTTACAACTTTTTAGTTTAGAAGTTTTAGTCATTGTCAGACGTTAATTGAAAATATTCTCTCAGAAGTCGATATCAAAATATACTGGTTTCTTTTTTTTAATTGACTGGGAAATAAACAGTGGGATGGTCGAGTTTCGATAATATTATCGACCGTGATTGACAGGTAATCGTTACGTTCTTTTTCATTTGTCTCTTCATTTTCCGATTTCACTGACTTTTTAAAGTTGCGTTGATTCTCATGTAGTAACGTGAATACAAATATTAACAATACTTTAGATAGTAGTACGTGTGGTTTCGACTCATATCTCTATAGATAATTATTCACATTATGATTGCATGGCATAAATTTGATTTCAAAATTTGATTCTATTTAGGCTAAATTGTCGACGGAAGAGAGGGCCGATGTTTTTGTCAGAAGACTATCCAAAAGGTTTGATCTCGCGGAGGAGGATGTTCAAAATTGTATTAAAACTACGAATACAACGTTGGGTAAAGATTTCTCTAATCTCGAACGATTACATAATCATTATTTTTCATTATATAGCAGAATCCTATATAGATTATACACCCTTCAATCCATCATTTCTATTTATAAAAACCTTTTATACGCGAAAGCCAACTCGATAAACATTTGATTTGATGTAACAAAATTAAAAAATTTAATACTCCACATTGCAATCTTGCTAGAAATACAAAAATAAAATAGCTCTATCCCCTTATTTCCCTTTACCTTAATTATATTATTTTCTTTATGTTAATTCGAAAAAAATTGCACCGACATTTCATCAGAAAATGATAAGTATATTTAAAAAGGAAAAGCTTTAAAGTAGAAATGGGTTAATATTCGGTGTAAAGTAAAAAATACTTTTATACTGTTTTTTGCAGAGGATGTACTGTACGCGACCAACTATGAAAATGACGAGATGAATAGATTTAAGAGAACATCTTGCGTGACAGCCTGTTGTGCCAAAAAGAAAGGATTGGTGAGTGTAACGGATTACAATTAAAAATAACGAATTATACAGAAATGTAACACTTTAATCGGTCATTTTAGATGGTTGGAATGAAGTTAAGCCCACCGGTAGTGCTGGAGCATTTCATGAAGGATCGCATGCCCATTCCGCCAGAAGATATCAAGAAGTTCAGCGATAGTTTAACTGCTTGCAACGAAGAAGGTAATTAATCATACGATCAATCAATAGACTAACAAAAGTCATCTGTAATGATAAGTTTATACTCAATGAGTCATGGGAATTGGGATCTGACAACAATCTTTCGTTTTCATTCAGAACCTAATTAAGACTCGGTTAAAGTATTCTGTATCGCACAAGCAATTTTTTTTTTAATTCGATGAAAATTGTTTTTCTTCAGTGAAAACATCTTCAAAGAATAATATATACAAATTTCATTAAATGTATTGCGACATATTTATTTGATAAATATATTTTGTTAGATTTGTGGACAACGTGACGAAAACCTAGAAAATTCCATTTTCCTTTCCATTGTTACGTTGTGACTATAGTTTCATTTGTATGAATGAATGTTTATAATCCTTTGAATTTTAGTGACGGAAACAAAGGACGAGTGCGCTGCGATGTATCAGATTGTTGTTTGCATTATCAACAAGTACAGAGACGAACCGCACCCACGTCTGTACTAATATCCTTCTGATTTCCACCTTTACAATTGTGGAAAACGAACAATTGCTTCTCTGGGAGATTTTTTAATAAGCGACAATATAAATCAATTGAAATCCCTTGTATCTTATTATTGACCTTAATAAATGTCCTCTCGCAATTCGCGTACGAAAATGTATATCAATTCAACTGCTCGATGGCCTCAGTGTCAAAATAAATAAAAAAAGTAATTGTAAAACAAATTATTCCACCCTATTTACTTAATACTTCCAACGATAAACAAATCGTTTCTCTCATACAAATAAATAATGGAAACCCGAAGGTCACGATTCCGTAGAAAACTCCTTTACGAATTTTTGGCGAAACTAATTATAACAAACACCGAGGAACTAACACTTGAAGGTCGAATGTCGTCATGCAAGTAGGATAACACTTTTATTCACTAAGTCAAATGTCGCCGCAAAGGTGACAAATAATAATTTCGTTACCCATTCCATCATTGGGTATATTTTCCTATTTCGCAATACTTTGTTATTGCTATTGTGTCATTAAGATTATGAATCGATATTTGTTTGCTTCTCGGTTTACATTGATTAAAATCATTAACAACAGCAGTACATATCACTATAACCGAAGAATATGTCTGTCTCAGCGGGGAGTACAGTTGGGAACGTATAACGTGTGCTTTAAAGAAAATGTGACAGCTCCGTGACATCATTTCGTCAACTTTAACCTCTCCGGCACGGGTATAAATGATCCGATTTGCTTGATCAATGTTAGTCGAACAATTACAGTCGTTTACTACAAACGGGAAAAGGAAAACCATGAAGTGCCTATTGTTGCTTGCGTTCGTCGCCGTTGCTGCGGTAAGTTATTCAATTTTAACATCCCTATTTTCAATCGTTCACACTCTCAAAAAATTGTGTAGAAGTTTTAAGCGACAGAGAAGATGAAGATATGAATGGAAACCTCGACAAGGGTCTATGTTATATTATAAATTACGAAAATTGATATTCGACTGTAAATTTTGTGTAATGATCGACATGTGTACTACAAGATTATACCATGATTTTAGAATCCTCGTAGATCATTTTATTTTAGTTTTTTCAATCATCGTCAGACCTGAATTGAAAATATTCTCTCAGAACTTCATATCAAAATATGTTGTTACCGTTTTTTAATTAAGTGGGAGATAGACCGATCGAATTTCAATAATATGATCGACAGTGATCGAAAGTTAATCGTTACGTTCTTTTTCATTTGTTACTGCATGTTTGTTGATTCTTATATACTAATATAAATACAAATATTAACAATGTTATGAATGTTAGTATGCGTGGTTTACACTTATATTTTTGTCAATAATTATTCAGCTTACGATTGCATCGTACTAATTAGGTTCCAAAATTGTATTCTATTTAGGCACAATTGTCACCGCAAGAGAAGACCGATATTTATTTCGGAAGACTGGTTAGAACATTTAATCTCACACGAGATGATGTTAAAAATTGTGTTAAAACTACGAATACCACAGAAGGTAAAGATTTCTCTAATTTCCGACGATTACATAGCTGATTATTGTTATTAATTATATAACGCAATCCTATGTATCAATTGTATGGACTTCAACCCTTCGTGTATATTTCTAAGAACATATTTCACTTGAAACGTAACTCACGACTTACACTTGGTTTGATGTAGTTTAATTAGAAATTTTAATATTCGATATTGCAACCTTGCTAGGAATACAAATATAAAATATCTCCATCCTCTAATTCGTATGTTATTTCTTTTTATTTTATGCTGATGGTAAGAAAAAAGTATAGATACTTCATCGGATAATTATAAACATATTTGTCAAGGAAAAGCTTTCGAGTTTAAATAGGTTAATACTCGGCGAAAGGAAAAAAGTACTTTCACGTTATGTTTCGCAGACGATATACTGTACGCTGTCAACGATGAAGATGACGCCGCATACTCAGAGAGAGTCAAGAGGGTCTCTTGCTTGCTGGCCTGTTGTGCAAAAAAGCAAGGAACGGTGAGTGTGTCGGTGAACATTTAAATATAACGAGAATACCGATAAATATAACGGATTATAAAGAAATATGATGGTCCAATCGGTCATTGCAGATGGTTGGAATGAAGTTGAACGTACCCAAAATAATGGAAGTTATCGCGAATTCTAAGCTAAGCATTCCACTGGATCAAATGGAGATCTTCCGCGATCGTTTAAATGCTTGCAATGCAGAAGGTATTTATTATAATCACATACTCAATCGAAAGACTAATAAAACTCTTCTGTAAACATAAATTTGTATACAGTGACTCGTGGAAATTAGGATGCGGCAACTCATTCAGAATCTAATTTGGACTCAGCTAACACATTTTCTCTCACACAAGCTATTTTTCAGTGAATTTGAATTTATTATTTAATAAATATATGCATTTACCCGCGTGAAAGAGAGTAGTCCCAGTAAAATAGGGTGTTCCGGCACGGTTTATTTGGTAAAGATACATATCATAAAAAAACGGCAGCTCAACGACCTAAACCCCGAGCCCACAGCTATCGGTACCTTTGCAGGTCAGAAGGGAAGACGTACCCCCTACCTCCACTACTAGTAATGTGGGCGTAGGTTAAAAAACGGCAATTAGCAACACCTCGAGCATTCTAGCCTTCTGATTTGTCACTAAGGACACCGCCCTATCTCTGTATTTTTATATATATAGAGAGACATTGAGACAGATAGACAGACAGACATACATCACAAGTTCATAACAATCACGCTGTACTCACTGAACAACACACACACTTTAACTTTGTAAACACATACACGTTCCTTTCACTCAATATTCAACAAATACAGTCCACTTTCGAACGAGAAAAGGAGAAGCCTTTTTTCATCACATCCATTTCACACAAGGTTAATTCGGCGTGTAAAAGTGTTACGCCAAGTCCACTATTACTGCCTGGACAGCGTGCGCGACCATAGGGCAAAACGGGATCAAAACGGAAATCCTGTTGAGCTATATTAAGTTTCTCGTGACACTTAATGAAAATGTGGAACATATCCATTTTTATTTTACTTTCATTGTTAAGGACTGATTGCACACGCACACTTACAGAAATCAAGAAGAACGTAGAAGCTTAAGGACCGCTATTCTAAGTTAAATTTGTCTTATATTCTTTCTGTTTCAGTGAAAGAAGAAAACAATGAGTGCGTTGCGATCTACCAGCTCCATGTATGCTACTTGAACAAGAACCCCGACATAGTCACACGTACATTTTAACTTCCTTCCGATTTCCCTTGTTAAGATTTTTGAAAATGTACACTTGCTACTCTGGGAGATTCTTAAATAACCTAAAACACAAGTCAATTGAAATCTCTTGTATTTTATTATTAACACTAAGAAATATCTTTTCGCAATTCGCGTACGAAAACTCAATTGCTCGATGGTCTCAGTGTCAAAATAAATAAAAAAAAGAAATTGTAAAACGAATTATCCCCCACTAATTACTTAATACTTCCAACGATAAACAAATCCATTTTCATATAAATAGATTATGGAAACTCGAAGATCGATTTTACAAAAAATCCTTTACCAATTTTCGCAGAAAGCAATTATAGCAAATACAGAGGAATTAATATTTTGCGGTTGAATGTTGCTATAGGAACGGGATCATATTTTAATTCACTAGATAGAATACATTATAAACCGTTCATTTTTTACTTCTCGATTTACATTAATTAGAATAATTAACGATATTCGTATATATCGCTATATACAAAGAATATATTCGACTCTGCGAAGAGTACAGTTGGAAACATTCTCGACCACAAAGGGTTTAGATGAAGGAAACAGTAATTTAACGCTGCAGCTGGAAAGTAGTCTAACAAATCGTGACGGAGCTATCGATTTCCCAGCCTGCACGCTACTTAAACTTCAATTCGGTTGAAAATTGCTCGATGACGGTTAGCAGACGGACCCAAATAGCACCGCTTTGTAATTGCTTTATAAATTGCTAAATCGTGGTATCACTGATTATCAATAAATCAATGTTTCGAAAAAGTTGGCCCACTCAGTTCTTTAATCTGTTTCGCATTCTACGGATATAAATTCAGCTGGAGCTGTAAGGCTATTCATGTAGTTCACCCACTCGATCGATGGTACTAGTGTAATAATTGCAACAACTTAATCATCTTCTAATTTTTAATTCAAGAATCGCGTTACCTGAACGACTCCAAGATATAATATAATTGAGTTATCTTAAGGGACATTAAGTAACATTCTTTTGGAGAAAATAAGATATTGTGATTCATTCTTGAAATCCGTCTTATCAGAAGCAAAATATTGAAATTTCCTCCTAATTAATTCTGCTTATACTGTAATAACTCGAAACGACTGATTCATTAAGGAAAGAAGCTATTAATAAGCCGATAGGTACTCAATAAATATTCTAGTTTCAGAGAAGCAATCAATGAAAATGTTACTTTACGCAAACTTCCGCGGTTTAATAATAACCAAGCAATGCACGATTTTTAAAATAATCGAGATTCTCCACTTGTTGCGGTAAATATCGATACAGCTTCAAAGAATACCGTTTACCGCGGTTGACGTTAATCAATTCGAAAAGAATTGTTTTTCACTGAAAAATTTCGCTATATCGAATCATGCTCCTTCTATTTACTTTAATAACCCGCATAATGTTTCCGCTTGATTTATCGCGCAACGTTTACTTTTCGTGAATGTGACTACTCCGTGACATCAATTCGTCAACTTTAACCTCTCGTGCACGGGTATAAATAATGTGATTTGCTTGATCAATGTCAGTCGGTCAGTTACTGTCGTTTACTGAAAACGAGAGATAGAAGACCATGAAGTGCCTGGTGTTACTTGTGTTCGTCGCCTTTGCGGCGGTGAGAACATGACTTCAATATCCATATTTTGAATTTATATTTTTGCATTTATATTCTTGTCGACAGTTATTCAGCTTACGATCCCATCATATTAATTGCTTTCCTAAATTGTATTCTATTTAGGCCCAATTGTCGCCGCAAGAGCAGGTTGATAGTTTTTTAAGAAAAACAACTAGAGGATTTGATCTCCCACTGGACGAAGTGAAAGATTGCGTTAAAACTACGAATACCACAGAAGGTAAAGATTTCCCTAATTTCCGACGATTACACAGCTGATTATTGTTATTAATTATATAACGTAATCCTATGTATCAATTGTATAGACTTCAACGCTTCGTGTATATTTCTGAAAACATATATTTCACTTGAAACGTAACTCACGTTAGACACTTGGTTTTATGTGGCAAAATTCGAAAATTTAATAATTGATGTTGCAAATTTGGTAGGAATACGAAATTAAAATACCTCCACTCCCTAATTCGTATGTTATTTCTCTTTATTTTATGTTGTTTGTAAGAAAACAGCATCGATATTTCATGAGAATATTATAAACATATTTTAAGAAAGTGGAGAAAGTATGAAATACTTTAATACCGTATTTTTTATAGAGGATCTACTATACGCGTCCGACTTGCAACATGACGCCTTGAAGAGATTCAAGAGGATCTCTTGCTTCTTGACGTGTGGTTTTAAAAAGGCCGGAACGGTGAGTGTGTCGATCTACATATAAATAGAACGAGAAGACCAGTGAGCATGACCGATTATAAAGAAATGTAACTCTTGAATCGATCGTTGCAGTTTGTCGGAATGAAGGTAAACGTACCGAAAGTGATGGAAGATATCGCGAAAAATGGGGCACCCTTACCACCGGATAAGGAAAAGAGGCTCCGCGATGATTTAAATGCTTGCAATGCAGAAGGTATTTATTATAATCATATACTCGATCAAAAGACCAATAAAACTCTTCTATAAAGATAAATCTGTACACAGTGAGTTATGGAAATTAGGATGAGACAACAGTTTTTCCTTTTCATTTAGAATCTAATCACTACTCAGTTAACGCATTTTCTCTTACGCAAGATATTTTTTATTTAATTTGAATTTATTTTTTAAGAAATATATGTATTTGCTCGCGTTACAGACAGTTAAACAAGTAAAATATGGTAAAATTGTTCAAAAAGAAAACTGTCTTAAGTTATATTGAATCTTTTGTGACACTTACGGACACTCAATGAAAGCGTGGAAAATTCCATTTTTATTTTATTTCCGTTGTTAAAGACTGGTTACACACGCAGTTTCAGAAAATACGAAAAACGTGAAAGATGACGAACCGTTATGCGAAATTACACTTGTTTCGTATTCTTTTCGTTTCAGTGACAGAAGCGAATGACGAGTGCGCTGCGGCCTACCAACTCGTTGCATGCTTTATGAACAAGACCAGGCCAAACCGACAGCTGTTCTAATTTCCTTTTGATTTTCCCTTTTACAATTTTTGAAAACATACGGATGCTTCTGTAGGAGATTCTTCAATAAACTAGATCATAGACCAATCGACATCTTCTGTATCTTATCATTAATCTTACTAAACGCCCTACCGCAATTCGTGCACGAAAACGTATGTCAGACAATTCAACTGCAAGATGGTCCCAGTGTTGAAATAAATTGAAAAAAGAAATTGTGAAACGAATTATGTCACTCCAATTACTCAATCCATCCAACGTTAAACAAATCATTTTTCATATAAATAGATTACGCAAAATCGAAGATCACGTAACCAAACGATTACGTAAAACCGAACTGCAACGACGAATGCAGAAAGAGAAAAAAGAACCGATAATGTGATTACCATAATATACAAAATCCGCTGGTATTGTAAATCGTCGTCTTTATTACGTATTAACTCGTCCGATTACTCGTCCGTGTAATCTCGTGCCTCTGTGTACAGTTTACATTTCTTTTCTGTTGTTATTAACGCGGTAATGGGTTCCCCGACCGAATGCAACTCGAATTAAAATTGAAATTAAAATATGACGAATACGAACGAACGGCCTCTCGATCGGCCATTTCGCCGGGGCGCGCCAGCTCCTCGACGGTTTTCGCTTAATTCGGCGCCGTGTCGAACAAAAGGTTTAGCCGTTTCGACGACGCTCGTTTGCATTAAGTGGCTTTATCCGACGCGCGTATCCCTCGCCGAATCTACATTTGACTTTGTAATTTCATTTATGTCGGATCGCGTATCCCGCCCAGTGCCCCGGAAACCGGGGAGACGGGCTCTGACCGATCCGTGATATTCCTGAACGTTTCCTGTCCCGATCTCGTTTCCCATCGCCCGGACCTCCTTCTTCTTCTTTTCGACACTGCCATCTCATACGAATTTAATAATAAAACTTTGTATGCGAATGCGTATAAAATTGAAATATCATACAAATGTTTATTGGATAAAAAAATTGGAAATTCGAATGTCAGTAAAATCTGTGTAGACTTGTAAGAATGAACAATGAAAATTTTAGGAAGGTTTTTATACGAATTGAAAAACAAATTGGAATTTTAATGAAACTCTTAGACGCGTGTAAGAATTAAAGATTCAAAGTTTCATAAAAGTCGTTGTACAAATTGAAAAATCAGAAATGGAAATTTCCATGAAATCGTTATACAAATTTCCACATCGAACGTTGAACTGTTAATAAAATCGATATGCAAATTGAACAATTAAAAATGAGAATTTTACCAGAATTCCTATACAAATTTGGAAATGAATTTTCTCCGAGTATCGTAGCAACTGAATTTCGAACTATAGATCGTTCTTCTGTGATTTAACTAATAAAACTACTCGCTTCCGATTTCAGATACTAAAGTCCCAACTCACCACTACAACATTCCTCGTCAAAGACTTGATCCCTTATTATACCAACGCGTAGCTAGAATTTCAACCGAATCGTTGTCAAACTATTGCAACGACGATTACATTACGAAAACGGAGACACAAAGTTCTGTACTCAAAAATAAATAAACATAAAAGGACTTCGTGTCTCCGTTCTTCGAAGACAATCGTCGTAAACCGCTTGTATTCAGTCTTATACGACCGCTCCGATGGAATGATCGAACGAAACGTTTTGGGGACGATGCTTTCGAACAAAATTTCACGAAAAATCGATTCTCCTCAGCTGGCTGGGTATACGTAACCCCTTAAAGACACGGTGTATTGGGTGCCGTGCGCGCAAATAAGCTGAAAATCAGTTTAGATCCCGCCGCGACGTTAGCGTTTAGCTCGCGTCCCGCGCCAAGCGACGTATAACTCTCTTACGATAATCGAATCGAGTTGTCTGGCTCTATAAAGGTTTCCGTGGATGCGCGTGTGTATACTGGGAACTCGCGGGGAGGAAACTCGCGTGTGCCGCGGTGAGAAGAATATCTATCCCGCGCGAGAACACCGGCTGGAAAGCGATAGCTCGTTTTGTAATCGAATTTTCACGCGCTCCAGGAACAGCATACTTATACGAGTCGGAGAGCATCACGATTCCGTCGACCGTAATTATGCCTACGCTTCCATTCGTCGAAACACGTTTCAATCGCGCGATTAACGCGTTGAACGCCGTACGATTTTATGAAGCGAAATACAAACCATGAATGGGATATTACTTTGCGCGATTGAATTGCTTCGTTGTTACCGCATTTTATTACTGTTACATTACTAGTATTATTGCTGTGTTATTGCTTATTCTTTAACACTGTTTCCCAAATTCTATCCGATTTCCCTTCTCGCCGATAAGAAAATGAAACCGAGCGTTTTCCTGGTACACGCGGCACACGAATAGCCGCAAATCTGGTTCAGCGAGCAATTAAAATCAATTACAATGAATCACAGCCGTTTCGAAAGCTAGCGGAACAACGATTGTTCGGCACGACACTTTCAAGAGCGAACCTTTTTATACATTTTACAGCGCGGAATCTTGTACGATTCGAAGAAAAGAACGAAACGCGAAGAAAGGAAGGGAATCGCAAGTTGTCGCAGAGGAAGCGTCGTCCATTCAACGCGCCGAACGACCGGCCATTATTGTCTGAATAGCTCCGATACCGCGGCGCTGATCGAACGTATCCGGAAATGCGGTTAATATAACTCCGCGGCGGTTGTTCCTGATAGGGACGCTGGAATTCTGGAATTCCGCGATGAAATTAGCGCCCATCAAATTCCACCGTGGGACCCGGTAAGTTATAGGTTCCCAGGACGAAAGGTCTTTCCGTTAAGGCGCGCGCGATAGCCACCAGCATCGAATAATTTGCAAATTATCGTTATAGTTCGCGACGAACTGTTTAAGCGTTTCAGTGCCAAGCGGCGCGGTCGCGCTTCGCTGTTACACCGTCTAGAAGCGCCACTTTGTGGGTTCGTAGAATAAAATTAACTTTACTTACTTGTCTTCCTTTTAATTATTTATTTTTATTTTCATTATTACCTGCTTGGAAATGGAAAAACGGAACGATCGCGCTATTTACCATCTTTTCATGTGAAAACGGAAAAGCGTAATTCAGTTTCCAAACTGAAACGAAATAAACGCGCCGTCCGGGTCATTTCGACCGGGTTTTTGCAAAAATCCGTGGCACTTAAACGGTTAAAGAGAGACATACACCACCTGGAGAATTATAGATAAACTTTAGGCATTTTTTTATAAACTATTAAGTGAAAACTGATTTTTTTCTCTGTGCGTTACAAGATGCTACAAAATGGCGAAGTTATTCGGTAGCTTCGGAACGCCTTTTCGTGAAACATCCATCGTTAGCCGACTCAATGATCCCAAACAACTGAAGTATTCGAAGACAGAAATTTTGGTAGATTTATAAATAGACATGTGTTATCTAATTTGTAACAGTGAAGAAATTTCTATGTAAATAGGAGCAGATCCGCACCTAGTGGAAACCCATAGAGATACAGTAAAGCATGTAGTTCCAGATAAGAAGATGAGGAACCAGAAGGAAAATAATATAATATTAATCATATGTTATAATATTAAATAAATACTAACATAGACCTAGCCCGACACGACTGACCAGCGCGACCTTCAGTTATGAAAGAAAGGTGGTCCGTATAATACGGAAGTACCAAAATCTTCTCTTTAGAGGTACAGCGTGTTCTGCTTGAAACCGCGCGCTTAAACGTGACTCTTCTACTTCGAACGCCGAGAAGAATAATATAAAATATTAGCATTCGCAAAACACGTTCTTGTTTTCGTGATGCAACTTGTTTGCGTCACAACAATTTTTCCATGCTTATGCGCGCAATATAGTTGGATAATGGTTTTTCACTAACATGCCGGTCTCGGGGGTCGCGGGGTCAGAAGAATTCGCAGATACACGCAATGAAAATGAGAAGAAAATAAAAATAAGTCGCGTAATTTACGGTGTATTTCAGGAATGGTCATTTACGAGTAATTCCTTTGAAGGTAGGTCAACAATTATTATACTATAATTATTTTATATGTCATACTGTACACCTTATCATACTATTATACTGTATACTTTATACCTTATCATACTATTATACTAAAACCTTTTAAAGTTTTATTAAGAAATTTTTCAGATAAACGGTCACCTCGTTGCTGAATTTCCGCGAAACTTCGATTCTTAAAACGAAAAGTGCTCATCGATAAAAGAATCAGCATAGCGTGATTGTTCTACTTCTCTCGCTCCTATCCGATTTACCGTGAACTTTAACCACGCCACCGCGAATATAAGAATCGCGATGTTCTCTGCTCTATGTCAGTTGAACCGAGAATGAAGAAGAAATCGAGAATCATGAAATATCTACTGTTATTCGCGCTCACGGCTGCCGCAATGGTGAGTAACGGATTTACATCATTTTTCTAACGGTTCCTCCGGTTTGAATTCGAAACTGAATGCACCAGACGATTAATATTCGAAATTAATTGATGTCGAATCTTGAAACTTGACGATAATGCGATTCTGAAATTTGCATCTTTTAGGCAACTGAAGATGTAACTGAGAATGTAACTGAAACTGTAAGTAAAGACCGATTGGCTGAAAACTTCGCTAATGTGTTGGGAATGAACCAATCGGACGCTGAAATCTGCACTCGTCAGTGGAATACAACAAGTGGTAAGGATTTTATTCAAGTCACAATACCATGAGTAACACTAGAACTACCGAACAGTCAAATGAACTTTCTTGAAACTTTTCTGTAGAAACTCAAAGAATGCGTCTTATAGAGATTTCAGTTTGCGTATTACTAAATCAATTCCTGTGATAATTCCTCAGATAATTGTCGGTTGTCTTTTGAATAATTTCAAACACCAGAAATCAGAAATGCGTAATTTTGACTTGTCTGGTAGTTCTAGTGTTAAACATTTGTGCGAATTATGTGGTTCGTCTTATCGATGTTTTATGAGAAAAATGACTTGACGTAATTTGTTGGGGGTCGCGGTCTATCTCGTGAATGATTTAGAACTCGCGACCTAGCGAAAATATAGTGGACTGTATTTGTACAACTTAGCCGGTTTACAAGTTTTCGAAGTGTGTCTTTTCTAGTCGGTGGTTGCTATACGAATGCTTTTCGAACTCGCGAGTGCTTCTCAGCTCCCCCTTGGAATTTGCAATTGTCCACTGATTGGTTCTTCCAATTTTTGGGAAAGTCCAATCAGCGAACCTAAGTTAGAAGGTACCCCTTCCTTTACGCCCTCGGGGTGTTTCCTTGAGGAAGGGGTCGTGAGATTTTCCAAGGGGGGAGAGACTCGAGAATTCGGCGATGGTGGACGACGCATCTGGTCAACACCAGAGACGGTTTCCTGACCCTGCATCGGCCGCGGAAACCGTTGGGCGACCCATGGTTCTTACTGACATGCTCAGGCCGTGAAGGTTTACAGCAGGGCAATAACTATTCAGACCAACGAAAAATGCGTGCAAGAAACTAAAGGTATCGACAAATGCTACGACAAAGAGTAAAAATTGTAAAGAGCGTACCATCCGGCGAGTGTCGTCTAGATGGCAAAAAAGAAACTAAATTTACGAATTCTCAAAAATAGCTGTGCTTCTAATCCCTGCCATAAACCCCGTACAAATCGGCCCGAACATAATTAGATGTACCAATTATTTACTATCACCTCTAGTCAGTTTCTTATTTATTTTTCTGCATTATTCATGGTTTATATAAGTTTATTGTTCATTCATTTTAATTATTATTACCTTTACTATTACTGGTATCTCTAGACAGATACTAGTAATATCCGAGTTATGCAATCACAGAAACATACTTCGTTAACCATTTCGTGAAAATTAGCAAAAGTTCACAATTAAAATTGTGATTAAAATTGTGATTGACAAAATTAGCATCATCACTTTAATCTTCCTCAGTTTAGTCGCATTCCCATTCTTTCAAACATACCTTCGAAAAAGAATCATTGCTGTTCCATTAGCGATTATTTCGCGTAAGTGGTTCGTTTAATTAAATTCTCACCCACTTTCGCAGATGACATTTTTTATATACAGCAAGTGTACGATAAGGAACGCGAGAACGATGATCCAGTACTCTTGAAGCGAATAAGCTGCGCGCTGCACTGTTGCTTCGAGAAGCAAGGATTGGTAAGTTCCTATCTCAGCTAGAAACAAATTTAATGCAGCGGAGAAAAGAGACGATAATTCGGTAATAACTACAGATTATCAACTAATAGATAACTTCTGTAATAATTACAGATTTTGGAAAGGGAGATACAGATAGCGAAGTTCAACGATCTCGATAGTAACTTAATCATTCCGCCAGAAGTGAATGCGCGCGATGTTATACGTACTTGCGAAGCACAAGGTATTTAGAACAATTACGTAATTCACCGCATTATCCTTTAACCTTTCACAGATGAGAAATTCCTGGTTTCTTCCAATCCTTTCAAATTTTTTTCCCTGTATTGAAGATATTACTATAGATCACTGACAATTTACATCTTTTGACTTTGATTTTTTTACAAATATCTTCAATTCTATAAAGAAAAAGGGATAATTGAATACTCTATAAACACTAGTATACAGAAACCATGTTTAAAGGGTTAATTAAAGGGGTTGACTGGAATTTCGCCATTTTTGAGGTCTCCTTTTAATTAATATAATCATCAAATATCAATTCATCCTACGGGTAATATCCTCTCTTTATGTGAGCTTCTAGTCATCAGTCAATTTATCATAAACAATTTATACATGAATCTAACCGATGACTATTTACTAATTTATTATTAACAGTGAAAGATATACCCGACAAGTGTCTTTTGACCTTCGAATTCGGCAAGTGCGCGATACGCCGATTCTACAGCCTGTAGAAGACATGACAACAACCATTCATCAATCAAACAAACTGGCCTGATTACTTCATAATACATACTTGCGTAACATCGATGATGCACGGGCTTACATCAAGAGACTGTAAAACGGTAATCGTTACAAATTAATGCGACACACTAACTAATGAATCCGATTCGCGAGAAAAAAACAGAAGAACAAGATGAATATTTAAACCTGTAAAATGCAAAATATTATATAGAATATTCAATGGAGAATCTGAGAATTCTTTAGTGAAGAATTTGAAAAATCGAAAAGCGGAAGTACTTTAGAATTCATTACTTTACAGCGCAATAAAGAAAAATAAATGTTCTGCGAAAATCTGTTATTTTATTTTAATGATACCACTATCAGTGCTTGTAAACGGTGACGATTCGCCGGAACTGGTTCTCTTGAAAACGAAACCGTGGACAAAAAGAATTCATATCGAAGTTTCGCTAATTTTTCCTTGTAAACTACGAATCTAAGACGATTCCAAAATGAAAGGATTAAAAACACACTAGCATCTTCTACGAATCATACAAATTTACTACGTAACTCGTCGAACGTACAATAATTGTTCGAAAATTGTTTTCTTAGATAGTGTCACATCATCGAGACATGTAAAAATTGCAATAAATTCTAGATGATTTTCTCGAATTGGACAATTATACTGTAATCATTATAGGTGTTTGGTAAGATCTCTGCATAGTTTATAGAATTTCTGCAACATCACTATCTTCTCGATCAATTTCTGTAGTACGACAAGATCTTGGTGACAATGTAGTTATTCTTTTATTGATGGAAAGCTCTATTGTTCAAATGAAAACTACTGCATTACATTGTCGACGCCTGTGATATTCACAGAATCGTTACCCAGCGAATTTTTGCAATGAATTAACGGATAATCGAAAATTACGGTTTCGTTGCGATTTGAGGAATCACCGAGACAATCGTACCCCGCGCAATTAATTTATACTTGATATTATTATTAATCCATTGTCTGGCGAAAAATTGAAACCAAATATCTGACGCATCGAAGAAATTGAAAATTTTGCATAAAGATCTGCTAACCAATTAAATCGGATAATCAGGACACAACAGTTATATTTGTTTAAATATACCCTTAAAAATTGCATTTAAGGAAAGATCAATCACCCAATTAAATCAACTAATCAAAGTTCCACTATAGCTCAATTTTTTCAATTCCATTTTCGAAAATTTTAAATTCCTCAAAGATCCGCTGCCCAATTGAATCAAATAATGAACGTTCTACTACAGTTTGATTTTTCTAATTACATTCTCAGAAATTTTAATTTCTTAAAGATCCGCCATCCAATTAAATCGAATAATCAAGATTCCACTGCAGTCCCTATTCCTTTAACCCCATTTATATATATCCGAATTTCCATAAAGATCTGCCGATCAGTTAAATCGGATAATCGACGCGGTTGATAACGCGCGGTTCTATTTCTTCGATTCGATTGTTTAGACCTCTGAATTCGCATAAAAGTCGACAGTCTGAAGATGAATATCTAGAGTAAGTATGTACTTGCTCCTGTTTTTCTTTTCAACAGTACTAATGCCGCTTATTAAAACGATGATTACCCAGTGTCACACATACTGCCAGCGTCGGTAGAGCGCGAGCTTGAATAAACGATAGACGGCGCGCCATCTGATAAACCTGTACAATATTTCCGGAAAGTGTAATTACGTAAAATGATTATCATGACCGATTAAGCCTGCGTCTGGCCGTATATTTTTCCAGGTATAAATACCGGGGTTCAAATCGTTGCGCGGTCAGTCGAAGGTGACGCATTCAACAAGGTGTACATCGTTCATCTTCTATTCTATATAGTGCAGCATCCTTTGTACCTATAAACTTTATAAAGGCATCGACATGAAAACTGCCGCCATCTTCCTGTGCGCCTTGTGCTTCGTGTCTTGCACGGTACAGAAATATTTCTAGTGTCTGTTCGTTGGGGGGATGACACAGTTAGATGTGAGGTGAACGAGAAATCTCTCGATCTTTTACGATTAAAAGTTTTCATAAAGGAGATTAGAATTAACTGAAATTATACTTACTGACGTTTATACGTTATTTCTGTATTACAATCAATTTTTTATCATGTTATACGTGCTCCTAAAAGTGAGACACACTAGAATTCTATTCAATATCTTTTTTCGTTCGGTTAAAATAGGGGAAACAGAAAGGAATCAGAATTATTACCATTATTTTTGTTAATTCTGTCCGTTGAGGTGAAGAGTTGAAATTTAATGGAAAATATATTTTGCCGCTGAATCATCGTGTGATCTGTCTGGACCCATTTGCTCGTAACCTGTTTTCGAGATTGATGTATTTCTGATAGACTAATTAGTAGGTTTTACCGCTAGAGCTTATGATTATCAAGTCGACAATTTTCTATTAATCGTTCTATCGATGATGGAAAATTCTTCGACAAGGAAGTAACCGATTAATCTTATTTTCATTCAGTTGGTTCGCGCCGATGAGTCTGAAATGTTGAATTCATGCTTCAAGAAGGAAGGTGTTACCTTCGGTGAGTGCAATGAAGTGATTTAATGACTAGATGATTAGTAGGAAGCAGTGTAAGCAATTTTTTATGCTAATTATGTTTATACTGGTAATTTAATCCATTTGCGCCCATAAGGGGAATATTCCGCATATAACCATCGCCACTTATCACCGGGCGCGGAATATTCCGTTTTCATCGTGTTTTTAAGAAATTTTACTACTGTTAATCACTGTGCAAATCTTTATGACCGTCGTTAACGGTAAGCACTTCTAATGTAAATTCAAATGTAAATTCTAAGTACAATCGAAAATAAAAAGCTATTGACACGCGGTAAAACAGGCTGACTGTCAATCAAACGTCTCGAATGTATGAAGTTGTTAGTGTATTTCAAGCCGTGATACAAATGAGTCAAAAATGTTGAGTGTAACTTAACTGACTACTGTTAACCATTACTGATCATTAAGTAACCACTAAGTAACAACTAAGTGATCAATACTGACCACTGCTAATGAGTGATTAAAGCAAATTTTACAATAGAAGTTTTAATCCACAATACAACCTTCATGGACCATTATTTACACTTTCCAATTAGCTGACATTAGTGAATTGTTGGGTGGCCAATCCGAGGAGGCAATCAAGAAGCGCGGTTGCATTGAAGCTTGCTACTTGCAGAAACTTGGCCTGGTTCGTATAAATTCATCCATTACGCTGCCAATCATTCGAAACCCTTTTTTGCATTTTCTCTTTAGTCTCTTAGCATTCTTAATCTTTCCCATCTTTGGCCACATCGAAATGAAAATTGAATTTCGAAAAGCGTGAAACTCAGATTTTTAATTTCAGATGACCGAAAACGTTATCAATATCGACAAAATGGACGCTATGGTAGACAAATTGCTGGACAACTACGAACACAAGGAGGAAGTGCGTAAAGGTCTGCACGAATGTGGCGACAAGGGTTTGTAAAATTGCTATTGTACAATTCAATCAAAATATCGTTATAACTATACATAGCGGAATTTTTTATAAATCTTTTGTTTAGCTGTTCCCAACGACGATCCGTGCGTGGTAGCCCAACGTTTCTCTGCCTGCGAATACGAGCATATTCAACTTGTTCTTCAGAGCATAATCGGTCACCTTGCCAAATAAGTGTCAGCCGATCGAACAAAGTATAGCCTTCGATGAAAATGGAAATACGTTGACCTCACGACACAACGGAATAATTTAACACAGCTGCGAATCGCACAATAAATATAACTGTCAAAATTCAAACTCAACGATCACGTTCCTTCTAGTATGCACCTCTCGCGTCCTGGATCAATCCCAAACGCTACAAGTGAATAATAAAAGAAGAATAGAAGAAGAGGACCTAAGCGATTTTACTTCATCATTACAGGTAAAGCTTCAATCAGAAGAGTGCGTGAAATGTATAAAATAATATAACTCCGAAGTAACTTTTATTATCACCGCAAGTTTTGCATAGGCAATAGAATTTTTATTTCCACGATATCACACCCAGTAATAAGAAAATTTATTTTTAACATGAAAAGTCACGGAGCCAATGAAACGATTCAACAATAAAATGACAAAAAGGTTCAAAAGGTGGTGTTAATCCATTGTCGAGTGAGTCATTCGTATTAGGCTTGACTCACACAGAAAGTTTCATAACCTTTTGAATTTCTTGTTTCAACGTGAGAGCTGCACAGTATTTAGAATCTTCGAAAATGGTGTCCTATGCTGGTGGACGTTCAACGCCCGACACCCGACGCGTCCGCGTGTGCACGCGCAGAGGAAGGCCGATGCACCGCGGCGGTGGCGCAGGGCCGCGATTGCACCGGCTTACGTGATATAGAACGGCGCACAACGGAGGTATTTCGCCTGCACACACCGGGCCCCATACATTATGCATACATTACGCTCGGTCCCGTACGTGTGTACACGACGCTCCCGTGCATACGCAGCATGATGTACAGGGTGTACCAGGTGTCGTGCTGCATTATTTACTATGGGAGCGGGCAGAGATACAAGTAGCGGCGCGGTAATGAACTGGAAATCAGAACAACTACCAGGGATTGCGTACCCCCGGTTCAAGGTCCCCGTCGTTTATTATTATTTTTCTCCCTTATGCGCGTACTCATTCCGCCGTCGCGTCCTCGCGTTTCTCTCCCTTCCTTCCAGGGTCTTTACGAAGCCGACTATTTCGAGCGTATCGGGAGACTGTACTAGAACTATCCTCGAAAATGTTCCTTGTTTTGACGCAAAAGTTTCGACGATTTCTGCACGAGATTAGCGGAAAAATGTTCTTTCCTCGAAACAAATGACATCTGTTTTCAAGCTATTGTGTCGTGTGTAAAAGACATTTCTTCGGTTTAGCCGACGAACAGTCGAGAAAAGAAGAGAAAAAGAGTAATTTATTTGCAAGCCTGTAGTCTTGCACACTTTTAAGGTTGCAACGAGATTACAGATAATTTTGTTCGAGCACTTGTGCAAATGATATTTCAACGGGATCCGAGAATTCCAGAATACATCGAGAAACTGTACAATTATCTCGGAAAATGTTTCTCGCGTACGAATGTATACCCATATTTCATCGGATAATTTATTTGTAAGCTTGTATTTTAATCTTTTGAGGTTTCAACGTTTCAACGGAGCGCTGGAAAATTTCATTAACACGTTCATGAAAATGAAAATCCACCGAAACTTGAGACGCCCTTTTGAACATAAAATTTAGAATACCATAAATACGTTTTTCTCTTTTGTTGTGTTCGTTGAAACGTTCGAAAAATATAATTATCGTTCTAAAACTGGCTCGGTTTTAATTAACCTCTTGTCCTATGATTTATTTCTCAACTATGATCGATACAACTACTTTGACATTAATAATTATTAAGAAAAAGAATAAAATGATAAGCATATTCTATATCAATCTTTACTACAAAGTATAATAATTGATAACAGGAGAATAATATTTCATTTTAATTCGGAAGAATCAAGTAACATTCGTGCGCGTTCGATTCTGTTTAAAATCTCCACCGCGAGTCTGGACGTTATTGTAAGGCAAGAGTTTAAAAGAGAGAACCTTCTTATAAATATATCACAGAGGTACCTTACATACAAAATACCAAAAGCAAGTCGAAATTTTCGAACGAACTTCACACTGACAGAATACTTCCCCCTAATTTCACAAAAATTGCCACTTTCACAAATTCCTTGAACGAAATTCCCAAATTAGACACTTTGGGGATGATGCATTCTTACAGACGTACTTTCAAAAACCGACTCTCTGAATCTCTGTATTAAAAAAACCTATTAAAGGGATGCTGCAATGGGACGGAGCCGCCGCAAATAGGAACCGGCGGCTCGTTCGCTGAAGGGGTAGAAACGTGCCGAGTTCACGGCGAAAACGGCGACTAATAAACCTAACTGCCATAAACGCGAAGATCATTCCCAAAACTCCGGAACGGTAGCTCGCCGCGAAATTTCCGCCATAATAATTTGGCGGGGCTACAATTACGAGCGATCATAAAATTAAGGAACAGAGCGGGAAATGGAGGGAAATTTTGGCTGCGAGGCCTCGTCTTTTGTTTAACGTTTCTCCTGCGAACGACGTGACGCTTGGTCGAGGGTTGAAGGCGACGAACAGAAGGGAAACTGTCGCGCTACGTGACAATTTCTTGAGAAGTTTCGGCTGCGCAAACTCTCTTACACCCACTCGTTAAATACAATTAATTTGTAATTGTATTGTCTGCAGACTAAGGATCCATTGAGAGTAACACTGCGATATTAGCTGTTCTTTTCTAATTGTATTTTTTTACCCTTAACCCTTTATATGGAAATAGGAGCACCAGAATGAACACTGAAACATGGAAAATCCATATTCCGCGAGATTAACCCTTTGCATTCGAATGTTTTTTCGTTGGACGTATTCAGCATTTTTCTAATTTTGACAACTATTATAAATATAATATACGAACGAAGGAATAAAATTATTCTATTTCGATATTTCGTTTGTAATTATACGATTACATTACACGAACTTTGATATTGAATATTGAACTTAATAATAAAATTGAATAATTTTGCTGTACGAAACTAAGTAGCCTGTGAGTCGCCTGATGAGTGCAAAGTAAACTAAAAAGAATGGTAAATACAATGAAATAACATTAACTGTTTATAGATGTAATAAATATCATTGCCAGCATTCTATAAAGGGTTAAATGGTAGGATCTTCTCGGAGATGTCTGCTTCGTCGAGGACAGAATTATTGTTGAATTTTGAATTGGCAAAGACACTCTGCGTTTGTATGTATATTCCAGGCACGAGCTCGCATTGCTGATCTTTTTGTCAACTTCAGGAAGAAAATAAATGTCAACTGAAATTACTCCTCTGTCACACCTTAGAACACCCCTTTGATTACGGTATTTTAAACGGCCCGCCTTAAACATTACCATTAAGAAATGTCGTCCATCTGCTCGAGGGTTGATGCGTGATCGTAATACTTAATTCTAACTCGTGACCAGGTTTTCAATGTGCCTCAATGTTTTTTATATAATAACACCACAAAATTTTTGTCTGGAGAAAAATGAACGTTTCAGTGCACTGGAAATAGCGGGAAAATATCTGCTATAGAAAACAACTATATGTTAATATCAACATTATCTTCGAACAAGAGTTAACTACCACTTTGCAAAACAATTCATTGGTAACAAAGTTTATTCAAAATTTTGAATTCAATATATCTGCTTCAATATCTAATTGAAAGGTACTTCCTCTGAAACACCCTGTACAATCACCATAAACAAACGGTACTCTACTTACCGTTGTCATTATGGTTATTATTATTATCACCGTAAACTGTCTGGTTAGAGAATTGGCGAATAATTTTCGCAGTTCGTACTGTTAGAATCCTAAATACGTAGTCGCTGCGGACGGGAATCATTACCGGATATGCGCGCCGTTATCAACGCATTATCACCGTCTCTACGTCTTCAGCGATACGTCGAACTGCCAAGCGTATACTCCATTCGACCAATCTATATAGTCTTGCCTCAATTATAAATCGATGAAAATTTTCGTAAAATCACGCACATTTCGAAGAACAATTGAAAACACGTACGGAGAAATAGTCTATAGATCTATGGATTTTTAATGAAATTCTCTGAAAATTTCGTTTTTAACTATTTTATTAACCACCCAAATATCCGTGTTCGTTCAAGCTACAACGTTACAATGTTTCTGCACAGAATTTACTTTCAAGGCACAAATCGAGGTAGTAGTGTTAAAACAACAGAGATTCGGAACTTTATCAAATTCCCTCGTAAACATGAAACATACAGAAAAATATAGAAAAATGAATACTCGGATACTTGGTTATTAACATGAAGGTTTACCGTTCGCTCTCGATAATATTTGGCACTATAAACATTCATTATTTCCTGATGAGATGTCGACAGTATTATTTGCAACGAACATTAAGAGAAATCTTGCATAAATTAAGAGTTCACATGCTGATACCTTATGAAAAATTTAATATCGAAGTTTAAGTTTTGCAATTTCGCTATGCTGAATCAAATCGTGACTGACAGCCGCGGAATACCGCACTGTACAACGGTTCAAACGTAAAAATCATACCGGTAAAAAGAGAAAACTAAATCTTCCAACGCGATTTGCTCGATTAGTCGTATTGGTTTATGGGCTGTTCCCCCCGAAACATCCTCAATTCATTTTCCGGTTCGCATTGTTCGAAACGGGACACGCCTGAGAGCAGACGATCGCTTTCCGCATGGGGTATACGCCTATGGTGGTCCACGCGCCTAAAATCGATTCAGAGAGACACAGACAGGGCATAGACCTCCATCCCTAGGGTGGATTCACACTAACTTTCTGGAACTGCGTATTTTCCCCTTCCGTTTTCCACGCGTTCACCCGATGGAACTCGACCAGAACCAAATCCTCGATGTTTCTGATCATCGAATCACAGATTCCACAGGTTTGTGACACGTAACAATGTCGCGTGAAACGTTTAATCCTTTGCCTGATATTATCTGACCAGTCTAATGGCAGATATTTCGAACTACATTCGATAAACATGGTAATTTCAAACTTTTTCGCAGCTGAAATGCAGTTCCTTTTCGTTAAACGGAAACGTTGAATTATAGCGAATGTAAAAATACAGCAATAGCACAATTCTCTTCTGTAGTAAGTCTCAAAAGAGTCGATCGTTTCGATAAACATATAACTTCTTTCACAATAATCCTAGGTGAAACTACTTT